GTGCTAGGCATTCTTCTGAGTCAGCCTGTGCAGGTCCGTCCAAGGACCAAAACCACTGCTGTCGGTGCTGCCGGTACTGTAGTTTGGGAACCTTACAGTTTGATTCCAACTGACTCTCTGACCCTCTCCTCCAGGTGCTGTGGGAGGAGGCTGGACAGAGCCGAATGAGTTACGTAGCTTGTTGCTTTGTTCTTCTTTCACGTACTCAGATGCTTGGGGCTAGAGCAGTTGTAATCCTTGTAATCCTTGGTTCATGAGAGTGTATCGACCCCTGCGTATCTCTTATTTTTTAATAATTGCTCTTGAACTCATTTCCCAATCCTAGAACTAAACTCTGGCAGTAGCATTCGTCTATCCGTGTGTACCACCCCTTCCTGTCTCCTGGCCTCACTGCTCCCAAAGTGGACCTTGTTGAAAGCATCATTCCCTTTCCATTGAAAAATCATTATAGTAAAAAAAAAAAAAAAAGTCATGAACTTCCCAGAAAAACAAGTTTCAGAAATGCATATGTCAATAATTGTTTATTTTTAGTTGTCTTTGAACTTAAGGGGGATGTAGAGTTTGTGAATATTGACCTTAAAAAATAATGCCGGCTGTTTTACAGTGTGTGTATACCAGTTTATCCTTGGCCAGCAATGTGAGAGATATCACCTTGATCTGCATGCTGTTCAACATGATGAGCCCTTTGAAGAGTCGTAAAGTGGGATTTTATTGTGGTCCTGGTTTGCATTTCTCTACTTACTAATGAAGTTGAGAATCTGTCTATTGGACATATGTATTTCCTCTTCTGTGAAATACAAGTATTTTGTCTATTTTTCTCTCTGTCTGCAGCTGTTGAGTCTTACTTATATGTAGGAGTCCTTTCTATAGTCTTGATACTCATGTTTTGTCAGTTAAATGTGTTACAAATGCCTCCTCCCATGTTTGGCTTGGATTGTCATTTGATGAATGGAAGTTCTCAATTTTAATACTCTAAGTCCAAATGTGCCAGCTTTTCTTTTATAGGCAGTGTTTTTTGTGTTTTTAAAATGTCAAGGTGTTCATCTATATTCTCTACTAAAAGTTTAAAACTTTAAATGTTTAAATCATTAATTCCTCAAGAGTTGATTTTTGTGAATGGCCTTTTAAAGTAGGGATACACATTCACATTTTCCCATGTGAATAGTCATTTTTCACCTCCCTTTTCTGTAAGAGTGTCGTCTTTTCCACTGATCTGTCCTTTGGCCTCCGCCACACAGCAAAGCCCCATGAATGTGTGCAGGTCCATCTGTCAGTGGTCAGTTGATCTGTGCCTGTGTCAGCATCATGTTTTTTTAATTACTGTACTGACCTACATTAGTAGGTCAGTTACAGTTTGTATTATAGTTTATAATACAAGTGAAGTTGAATTTTTTGTGTTTGCCTATGTATTTTACAAATTCATTATTGATATCTTTTGGGTGAGGCTTCAAAGGTACGGAAAAGGTATACCTCCTACCTGCCTCAGTGGAAAGCTTCTACTTTGGATGTTTCAAAACTATTTATATATAGCTCATCCTCCTCTATAGAATACTTTACATATAGTGTTGGATTTATTTTGCATTCTCATACGAATTTCACTTTGACTTTTTTTTATATATTTTAATTATTGCTGTTGTCTAGCGTAAGCTGTATGTCCTTGTTGCATAATCCCAGGCCTAATTTCTGTACTGTGAGTGGGGCTGTAAGAAGTAGCAATAACAGACTGACAAGTCATGATGCCCCTGTGAGCATCCTGGTCTGAGTCAGACCACGGCGAGTGGCTCGCAGCTGTGGCACACGTAACTGGCCTGTGTGTGTTTCCTTACCCACATGAAAGTGACTTACATTAATGAACTTTTTAAATTTTTAGAAGTATATCTTTTTTAAATGTCAGTAAGGCTTTAAATGTAATTGACAAATAGTTTTTTTTCTTTCTTCCAGAAGCTTCCACTGAGTTCTAGTCTTTGCCTGCAAACAAGCTTTGCATATTTGCCAGAACTTTCCCCAAGAACCAAGTCCATTAGTGCCGGACCTCCTTTACCTGAGGGCCACAGGACAAAGCACGGTAGAAGTTTCTGGAAAGTTGGGGCTTTGTGTACTGGTTTTTTTTTTTTGTTGTTGTTTTTTGTTGGTGGTGGTTTTTTTTTTTTTTTTAGTGCAATTGTAGATAATTTTCTAGACTAGGAAAATACAGCGTAGCTCCCTGGGCAGAACATACAAGAGGAGATTTGAATTCCACTTTAAGCAAATAGTAAAAAACACTATTTGGGCCAGGCATGGTGGCTCACGCCTATAATCCTAGCATTCTGGGAGGCCAAGGCGGACGGATTGCTCAAGGTCAGGAGTTCAAAACCAGCCTGAGCGAGACCCTGTCTCTATTATAAATAGAAAGAAATTAATTGGCCAACTAATATATATAGAAAAAATTAGCCGGGCATAGTGGCGCATGCCTGTAGTCCCAGCTACTTGGGAGGCTGAGGCAGTAGGATTGCTTGAGCCCAGGAGTTTGAGGTTGCTGTGAGCTAGGCTGACGCCACGGCACTCCAGGCTGGGCAACAGAGTGAGAGACTGTCTCAAAAAACAAAGAAAAGAAAAAAAACACTATTTGGAAAGTGTTATCAATAGACTAGAAAAATTTGAAATGAATGAGAAGTAACGGCAAAACAAAATTTGGGGAATTTTCCATTTTGAATTTAGGTAGGAAAGTAACAACAGAAAATAAAATCAACTAAGAATTTAAGTATAGTTCATTGTTCAATGAAAATTGTGTCTAAAAGTCAGGATCAAAGTGGGAAGGTATTCTGAGTAGGAAGCACCACCTGTTTTCTTTTGGGGGAAGAAGGGAGCCAGTGGGTAGCACTACAGGGAGAGGTTCCCAGAGCGAGGAGGAGGAATGCTGAAGCACATGTACCAGAAGAGAACATATGTTTTGTTCTTTAAGGTACTCAAGTACATACGGGGCTTAACTTTGACGATTAGACTAGTCCCATGAGACAGAAAGTTCCACTGGTAATGGAGAGTCTCCTAACTTGTTTGGGTACCATGGTAGGCCATAAAACCAAATGGGTGGTTCCTCTCTTCACCCAAAAACAGAGGTGATTTCAGCTCAGTTCTCTAGGAAGGAGTTGTGCTAGGAGCAACTCAGTGCAACTTAAGCACCCTCCTGGCTGCAGGGTGGGTGCTCTCAGAAAACTTGTGTGTATCTATAAAATAGGAAGAGAAAATAGTCCACCTTGCTATCACTTTGGATTTGCCTACATTTTCATATTTTGGGGAATTTGTAAATATTTTCAAAGGATTTAGGGAAACAGTCCTGCATACTTCTGTTTTTGTTTGTTTTGGAGAAATTGCCATCAATTCAACAGGTTGAAAAAATGTGAATGACATTATGGAACTATATACAAGTACAATAATTGCTACCATAAAGTTATGCATTTCAACTACATTGTTTTCATCTTGCCATAAGCATGTTGGTTTCACCTCTTTTAAACAAATGTTAATTTTTAGAGAATTTTAAAATAAGGCTTTTAGCAAAATTCTGTATATTTGGGAAGTTGACAAATTTGGTTTGTATTCACCTTGTAAGTCTTTCTTGTACGGAAGTATTTCTCATGTACAAGAAACACTGGGTGGACTGTTAATCAAAATTATTTTTGAAAAGTGTTTTAAAAAAAGATACAGAATAAACAGTATTGTATAAAATAACAAATTTTATTTCTAGAAAATAGTTTACACTGTACACATGCACACACCCACAGTTTAACCACACAGTGAGTAATTTCCTTTTAATAAATCTACCACATATATTACAATTTATAATATAGTTTTTGAAGACACAATGGGGAAAGCTTTGTCATTCATTTATAAACCATCCATAAATTACAAAAGAAAGGCAGTCTGAAAAGTATGTATAAAGAGTAAAAACAATTTACAAGTGGACAAGAATTACAAAATAGTAACCATCAAATATATCTGCCAGCAACTTTGTAAGTCTTTTGTTCAAATGCCAATGATGAAGGTGGGTATGGAATCATTTTGAACAGATTTAAATTTAGGATGTTTTTGGTGTGGCTTATGTGCTATGTGGATTACTTTACGTGTGTGTACTGTTGAGTATTTGGATATGGCATTTTGACAAATAATGAAAGTAACAGAAATCCGTATGTCACAAAATATAACACTGAAAGTAATGAAGATTATCACCTTTCTGGCAGGTTGGAGTACTGGTACTTTACCAAAGTTACTTTCTCTCCTTTTCTCTTTTTTGAATGATTAGGTAAACATTTTCTGTGTGTTGCCTGGCTTGCTTTGAAAGACTGAAACCAGTATCTTAAAATGCACAGCCTGTACAACTTGGTTTCGAGCCACTGTGTCAGTGAGGATGAAGACCACTGAATGCACAACACATACAAAGTATACACTGTATTTTTTATTAGACAGTACAAATCATTGTGCATTTATAAGGCAGAACATCAAGGCAAATTAAACTAGGAATTTCAAGACCAGAGTTAAAGTGAAAGTTATGCATTATGAGGCAAGCATTTTGGAAAGGTTGAAAATCATTCCTTTAAGGGTGGATGACAAATGCACAAAGACTGGAATTACAGGTAGGGAGTGAGCTACAAATAGCTATTTGCCCCCCTGTTTGTTAATAAGACATCCCCTCCCGCCTCCCAAATCAGACCTTGGACAAAGAGCAGATTGTCAACGGTGACTGAGAGAGAGCAACAGCTCCTCTTTGTTCTCGCGGTTGGTTTAAAGTGGATGGTAGTGCAAAAGTGCATTTCTCTACTGGTGTCAGGGGAGAAGATTGTTTTTTTAGGAAGTACTTGAGTCATGAAAGCCCTAGTTTGGAATTAAAGAAAATTACATAGATTTGGAAGTTGTCCATAAGCACATGAATCATTTCACTGCACCCAGCTTTTTCAGCAGTTTCTTGCCTTTGGAAAGCAGCCCCTTTTTCTTTTTCGAGGACATTTCCCTGCCTCTCCCAGGACTACCAGAACCCATAGATGACGGAGGTGACCCCGAATGGAGATGGACTGTGGGGGATGGAGCTCTCCTTGCTGTCCCTGAACCCTCAGGAGGAACCTAGTAGGTACATTGTGACAGTTTATTGAGTGCGTGAGCGCCAACAGCAGCAATTCACTTGGTAACATCGTACCGCCCCGATTCCCACCAGGAAAGAAAAAGGGGGTGGTTCATTTCTTCTTTCAATTTTTAAAGTATGCCATGAGAAGCAAACACCCTCTCCCAAAGCATGTCAGAGAGAGTGTCCAGCCGTAAACGTTTGGCTTTCAGTTTCTTTGTCTTGGGGGAGGGGGAGGCCATTGATTTGGCAAAACAAAGGTAGTAATTTATAAGTTAAGACCAAAAGCAGGGTTGGAAAAAAGTTATTTTAAACGAGGTTGATAGTAAAGTTGGCCGAGTACCCATCAGTAATCTTAACGGGAATTTCACTGTATTTGAAAACTATTTGGTTATATAAAATCCTGATATTGTAAAGTGCATTCTTGGGTTAGTATATTATAGAAATATTGGAGATGGCACACTGGTTGAAAGAAAAAAAAAACTAAAATGAACCTTAATTACAATCAAAGAAAGCTTAAAGGCCCTTATTGGATGCTTTTGTTATTTCCAAATCATTGAACATGATTAAGCACTTACAGTATATTGAAATATTACCAACAGTGCTTCAAAGGGGTAGAATTTTCTTATGTTGTATGACTTTACCTCACTTAATTTTTGCAGTTGAATACATGCCTAAACTTATATCATACTGTCATTGCTCTAGTTCCCTAGCCTCTCCAGAGCAAACCGCTTGCTAATATGAGTGTTCATTATTCAGCAGGCAAATGATATAAGCCAAGGGGCTTCAAGCTTGCTTGGATTTAAAATCAAGGTCTAATTCTAATGGAAAACACCTAGGAAAGCATCCCAAAGTACACCTGAAGATACCAGCTATTCCGTCTAATGCAATCATTTGAGCTGCATGTTTCATAAAACTTAGTATTGCATTGGTATACCAACAAATTCATCTGTCACCAACTTCTGCATGTTCCAGAACGGTTGTGCTTTGAGGAGCAGCATAGCGCTCTCATAAGGTGGAGGCATGGTCACAGGGTTCAGAGCCAACACTAGATCACCTTTGTTAACTGCTCATGTGCTTGATCTTAAATTATGTAAAACTTCCTATAGTAAACATATTTGTTAGGTTGTGCTTTTTCCAAGAGTGGCTAACAATGCAATATGCAGCTTTAATTATGAGTAGACATTGGAATACTCTATGTAAACAAACAATTAGCTTCTTAAGAAATATGTTCCCAATGTTGGCTTTTCAAATAGTCTTAATGTAAATAGTAGGAAATTATTTTTAAAGATGATTTGTTTCACTGTAAATTCAGTTGCTTTACAACTGAGACCAAGTAATATCCTAATACTTTAGGTTCAATAATTTTTTGAGACATATTTCTTTTCTTTTTTTAACCCCACAGTGAAGCCTTAAGTCTACCGCATTGGTCCATTTAAGGTAGCTTAAGTTGGTATCTTTATAGGTAACTTCAGTTGCTCACTTACGTGAAGGCTACATTGCCTGATTAAGGTGTGAAATGAACACTCTTCTTCTGTGTCCAAGCAGATGAGCAAAGAAATAAAAATATATAATATATAAAAATATAATATATAAAAACTCGCAGTGATGAAATAAAATAAAAATGAGATACTAAACATGAATGTAATCTAATAGTTAAATATGCTTAGGAAGCTCTTTGATCTTTGTCAAAAGGACTAAAATCCTAAGAGGGCAAAAAAAATCCATTCTTGCCCACCGAACCTGAAGGGCTCTCTCCTTGTCGCTCTTAAACTGAATGTGTATCTGAAATGTAGTTGGGACGCTCCTTTGTGAGTAAAGGCAGATTAGAGTTGAAAGGGATATTTTTTAGATAAACAAATAACATTTAGAATTTTTAGGCACAGCCCCCAAGGAAGGGCAGAGAAAAATTCAGGGTATATGTTTTTCGGCCCAAGATATAAAAATATCAGTGCAAAGACTGCATTAGAGCACGTGGCAGCGCGGGACAGGGTTAGAAAGGCCAAGTGGTCGCTTACCCTTTTTGCCTTGGAGCGCACTGGTGCTTCCTGAGAGTGGTGGGACGGAGCGTCAGAAAGGTAGACCTCCACGTCAGCAGGCACTTCTTCCAGGAAGTTTGAAGGTACAAGGCCTTTCTGCCCATTCAGCTCCCCCTAAAAAACACAGGGGGGTAAGTCAAAGAACTGTTTATTTTTCCAGACACCCACTTACTGCTTTAGGTAAAGGAATATAGCTCAAAGTAAAGATGCATGGTACATTTGTTCTAGTTCAAAAGAGGTAGGATGGGAAGGGGCCCTAGATCATGAGAACCACCTCAGCAACACGAGGGGGCTGGGCCCCTCTCCTGGGGTCCTGATTTTGCCTGTCTGGGGAGGAGCTAGGTGGTTCATAGGATCAGGCTCTTGTAGGAAACGCTTGGTTAGTGATTCTTAAGCCTGGCTGCCCTCAGAGTGTCCCTACAGAGCTTTTAAATATCTCAGTAGGAGATAGCGGGAGAATAAGGAGAGGTTTGTCAGTGGGGAGAAAGCTACAGTTAGACTGGAGGCATAAGTCCTGGTGTGCTATTGCACAGTAGGGTGACTCCAGTTAACAGTAATGTATAAGATTTTGAATGTTCCCACCACAAAGAAATGGTAAATATGAGGTGATGGGTACACTAGCCTGATTTGATTATTATCCAAAGTGTACAATTTTGTATCAATTAAAAACAAAACTTTAAAATATCCCTCAGGCACACCATTCTGGACCAATTACATCTATCTTCAGGGGTGGAGAACAGGTAGGCTAACATGCCAGCAAGTTGGAAAGCCACTGACCTGTGCACAGTTGTGTTTTTCTTCCCTCTTATGCACGAATACATCTTCCCTGAAAACACTTAACGACGTGGGGAAATGAAAGTGTCTATTGACACCTCCTCAGAGGTTACTGCTCCAGATCTTGCAACTCATTCACAGATTTGAGCCTGCACATACTTAGGGTCAAGATCCCTAAGTTCAACTGCCTACCTGGCATCTGCACCGAGGAGCTCACATGCTCAAAGTGACCGACCCCAAACAGCATGGATTATGGGTTTCTATTTACAAGGTCTAGGGAGTGACAACAGAAAAGGTCAGTCTGCTACATCAAAAACTCATCAAAGGACACAATGAGCAGAGTGATAAGACAACCTACGGAACCAGAGGACATTTACAAACAATATCTGTTAAGGGATGATACCCAGAATACATAAAGAACTTCAAACAACAAAAAGACAAAATCCAATTCAAAAACAGACATTTCTCCAGAAAGATTCAGAGGGCCAACAAGCACATGAAAATATGCTCAACATCACTAATCATTAGGGAAATGCAAATCAGAACCACAGGGTCCCACCTGCTACCATTAGGTTGGCTGCTATATCAAGAACGGAAACAGAAAATAAGTCTTGAAGATGTGCACTGCTGGTGGGAACGTAACATGGTACGACAGCTTTTGAAAATAGTACCGCAGTTTCTCAAAAATAGAATTACCATATGATTCAACAATGCCACTTCCGAATATATACCCAAAAGAGTTGAAAGCAGGTTCTCAAAGAGATACCTGTACACCTATGTTCATAGTTGCATTAGTTACATAGTCAAAAGGTAGAAGAAATCCAGGTGTTGATTGGATGAATGAATAAACAAAACATGTTACATACATACAATGGAATAATATTCAGCCTTAAAAAGGAAAAAAATCTGACGGACCCTACAAGGTGGATGAACCTAGAGAACATTATGCTAAGTGAAGTCAATCACAAAAGGACAAATACTGTGGGATCCCACTCATATGAGGTCCCTAGTGCATAAGATGCAGAGACACAAAGTAGAATGGAGGTTGCCAGGGTCTGGGAGGGAAATATGGGGAGTTAAGTGTTTAATGGGTTCAGAGTTCCACTTTTGCAAGATAAAAGAGTTTTGCAGCTGGACAGTAGTATGTTCAACATGAATGTACTTAACACCACTGAACTGTACACTTAGAATTTACTATCTGAACCATTTTTGTTATGTAGATTTTGCCACAGACATAAAAAATTGATGACAAAAAAAGCAGCTGCACGTACCTTCCATGTCTTCCTGTTCAACAAGCCTGCCCGTCAGACACGTGCAGCCCCACATACTACCCAGCCCACTCTTCTGCTTGGACCTTGAAGATCTCCTCTCAGATTTACCTTTGGAGCCCCCCAGTCTCTCCCATTATTAGCTCATCCTTCTCTACAGGTGTAACTTAAAGGACTTTTCCTGGCTCTCTGTGCTGCTAACTGTACAAGTGCCTCTGGAGGTCTCTCTTCCTCTCAAGGGTTTCAGATACTCCCTATGTAGGAAGACACTCAGATTTATGTCCAGCCCAGTCTCTCAGCAGGTCCGACACAGCCTGCCTTCCCCTCTAGCCTTGGAAAAGACACTTTCTTTGGGTGAGCACCAGACAGAGTGGTTGGCTTGTATTTGCAGACTGTGTTCTATGAAAACCCACAGCTTTGTGCACAAATCTCTGCTAGTATCATGTTCACACCAAAGAGGCCTGTGCAGACTGACCTACGCCAACTCCTGCAGCTGGGGGCTCCAGGCTGGCCCCTGCTCTGGCCCACAGAGTAGAGCATGAGTGGAACTGCCTGCACTGGTTTCTCATGTTCTCTGGTTCTTTGGGCCTGACACACACAGCCCTGTTAAAGCATTCATCAGAAGGGCACAAGTACCACGTCACTGCCTCCTCATCCCTGCTGCCTCCCGCACTGCCGGGTCTGTGGCACGACTGCTTTCAGCGTGGATCACGTTCCAGCAAGAGGCTCAGATGTCCTATTCACATTCTTTAAGCTCAAGCTCCTAAACCACACTTTCTGTTCAACAGTGTCCTTATCCCTGTGTTGCCAAGGGTGATTGTCACCTCGGTCAGAATCTGGGGCTGCTCCCAGAGGACACACTCCCCCCCTAGGATGACAATCCAAGCTCTGCATAAGGTCATCTTGAATCTGCCCTGTGCCTGGCGTCTCATTCAGGCCGCGTTCCCTGCCTAGACTGCCCATAGCTTGTTCCCTGGCTCCAGCCCCACTCCCACTTCCCTCAGAATCCACCTTTAAAACCCTTTACAGAGCAGCTTTTTCTGAAAGAAAACTCTATCTTGGCACTTTCCTCCCTACGGGTCCTTTGTCATCTGATCTCCTGAGCTTCTCTCCCGAGCCTCCTTCCATTTCTGTATTTAAGGCCAAACGTTAACCAACCTGGAGACCTGATATCCAAACTGGAATGGGTGGAAAGGCAGGAAACATCAAAACCTGTTCTCCCCCCCTTCTCTGTGTCCCAGTCGGCCTGAGGCCCAATCCCATCTTCATACTTCCAAAGCCACTTCGTGGCCCTCTTTTGACACGTGAGGTATATGATTTAAGATTTTGGGTGTAGAGATGAGGGCCATGCAGGAACAGCATGAGGTTTAAGATATTATGGGGTGTTGGAGGATCTGATCTTGAAGGATCAGAGCCACTGACTTAGGGAGGGTGATGGAGATGACAGAAGAGCAAAGGGAGAAAGGCCAGCCAGGCCTCACGCCATGCTCACACACACCCTTCCCCACAGCTATGCTGAGCTGAGAAGAAAACAGGAGGACCCTGCGGTATTGGGCCCCATCAGACATTTGAGAGTCAGTGTTCCTGAGATGCTTCAGACTAGACATGTCAGAGCACAAGAGTTTCAAGAAATCTAAGATTTTTCATATAAATTAGGTATTCCCTGTTATTGTTGATCAAAGAAGAAATAATAAAACAGACTGGACTGGGCAGTCCACTCAGTGAAACTAACCAACAAAATGATACAACTATTTGGAGGAGAGAGAAAAATTAATTTCAATCCTATTCCCACTATAATATAAAAATTTAGGCAAGACTTCAAGAAAATGAAGAAGGTAAAACTTAGGAATAGAAACACGCAGATAACAAGTTAGAAAAGTATTTTCAAACTTTGAGAAAATACCATACCAATTCTGATCATACACTTGACAATCTGAAAGGTATGTTTTTCTAAATATATAAAAATTTTTAAAAATTGACTCAAGAAGCTAACCATTTAAGCAAATGAAAACTTGTGCAGTCACATCCTAAAAAGATACTGAGCCTAAACAATTTTCTAATAACCTTCAAACAATAGTAATTCCATTTTATGTAATCTGTTCGAGAGCATAAAAAAGATTGGAAGATTCTTATTCAATAATTCTAGCATAATTATGACACCAAAAACCACAACAAAGATATTCCAAAGAATACAGACCAATATTATTTCTGGAATACAAGTATACTAATAACTTCTGAATAAAATATTAGCAAATCAAATCCAGTGCTTTTTAAAGAAATAATTATATATGATGCCCAGTAATTTACTGATGAAAAATAATCATAGCAAACTAAAACAGGATACTTTCTTAACCTATAAAGACCATCTACCTTTATGGATAGTCTAGCCTGTGTGAAATATTAGTGGTATTCCTCCTAAAATACATGACAAGTCACAGATTCCCCCACCATTGTTACTCAGAATTATTCTGAATGATGCAATAAGATGATAAAAAGAGATGACAATTATAAATATTGGTGTTTCTGACTTCACTTCCTCTTCAAAAAAAAAAAATAAATAAATATTGGTGAAGAAGAGACAAAATAGTCATGACTTGGGGAACCCAAAAGAATCAAATGACAACAGATATAAATAAATGCATTCAAAAATGATTGTGGCAACACACACATTTCCAACATATTTTCTAAATAACCATTGGAATATACATGGGGGGGCAGGGGTCATTTACAATAGCAATAAATCTATAAAATTCCTGAGGTGAACTTACAATACATAAAGGATGTGTAAGAATAGATCTATGAATCTTCTCTGACAGATGAAAGGGAAAACTTTGAAAAAGGAGACACATGCCATTTGTTAGAATTGAAAGACAATATTATGTCAGTTTTCCTCTAGTTTAATCCAAAAACTAAATGTACCTCTAGACAAAAAATTATGGGTTTGCTGTAGGGGTGGGGACTCTGTACAAAATGATTCCTCCCGAATATCAAAATGCATTATAAAAACACAGTAATTGGGACAGCATAGAGTAGTATTAAATTTATGAATACTCTAAGAATAAATAGGAATTTAATACATATAATAAGGTTAATAGGCCAGGCACAGTGGCTTACACCTGTAATCATAGCAATTTGGGAGGCCCAGGAGTAAGAGTTGCTTGAGGCCAGGAGTTTGACACCTACTGGGTTTTCTTGTTTGCTTATATTTCTTACTTCTCCTATAATAAAATGTATTTCTTACCTATACAATAAAAAAAATCCAGAAAATTGTTTTATAAAGGTTTGGGTGGCAGCAATTTTTAAATGTAAGAATATGAATGCATTTATTTTGTTCACAGTATATATATATATATATATAATGCCTTCATCAGCAAAAAAAGCATTGAAGATAGCCCTTACCGGCTTTCTACCTTACATACAAGTCAGTGAAGAGAGACGAGAAAACGAGGCGAACTTTTCAGCAAACTGCAATTGGCATTAAGAGAACAGACAGGCAAAAAAAAAAAGTACACAAAATGAATGAATTGCTGCCTCTTAATGGTTCGAGAACTTACATAATAAAATCCATCTTCATCAATTTCACCAAAAACAGTAATAATATCTCCCGTGCAAAATGTAAGTTCAGCCTGTAGAAAGGGAACACAACATTAATAGTCTTTTCCTGCACAAAGTAGTTGTTTTAAAAACTTCATGGGCATTGGTGACTCGGATGGGGAGGGACGAGGGATGGAAAGTTACCTATCAGGCTCGACGCGCGACATCCAGGTGACAGGCATATTAAATGCCCAGACTTCTCCATTATGCGACTCAGCCATGTAACAAAAACCACTTGTGCCCCCTGAATCTATTTAAATTTAAAAATATATTTTTAATTTTAAAAAGTTTTTGTGATTTCTCTCACTATTTGAGAAATTTTGGTATTAATTACTCTTTTTCAGCCAAATAAAAAAGGCACAAAGCTAACAAGTGGCTCTATTCATCATCTTCTAGAAAGTAAACACAAATCCAGATAATATCAACCTAAAAGGAAAACGCTGCGGTGCTTTCATTTTTGGCCAAAACTAAAGATTATTACCATTTTCTATTGGTAATGCATTTTTAAAACTAGTGAAAGTTAACTTTAAAAACCTGGAACATCAGAGAAAAGGACCATTGCATAAGTGTCCTTTCAGTATTAAAAAGTCTACTCAAGTATTAATTAAATGGCTGTTTATTAAGCAGCTACTCTGCCAGGTACCAGCCTTGAGGGAAGGGCGCGGTGCTAAGAAAGTGTCCCTGTCCTCAGACATCCGACTGCCCAGGACACTGCAGCCCAATGACACAGCAGAAAGTGGAATCATAAATCTAGCAGAGGACACTTTAAAAAGAAACTAGCATTTCTTTTTTTTTTTTCTTTAGCATCTTATTTCTGAACGTGAAAATGAAAAAATAAAGTCCGTGAGTATGTTAGCAAGTAGCTCCACAGAGCGAAGACCTCATCTTTCACTTCTGAAGACAGACAACTTTCAGCCTTTGTGAAGCCTGGGAGCCCAGGCTGGACCAGGCCACGTGCACCTAGCACATCATTGCTGTCCCCTCTGCTTTCTGTTAATGTCAGGGGACCTCATTACTTTGCTTTTCTTCACTGACCACCTGCGATGGGTTTCTGCTCATCTCCTAGAGATGACCCTACGGTGCCATCCCCAGTAGATGCGGGTCACAAATTGCTCTTTCTGCTGCAGTACAGGAAAATCTGGGCCCTGGGGAACAAGATGCTTCCTGTCCACACTGGCCATTCACTGGTTTGGTGGCCCTTCCCACCGATGGCCCACAGGGCAGGGAAGCGATGATTAAGGGCACACAGTTTCAGAGCAGCTCTGCAGTGCAGGTTCGTGGTGTGGTTTGGGGTAGCAGGGAAGGAATACGGGGGCTGGTACCTCCACGTCCACGTTGGGCGAGCTTTCTCTCGGGTCATAGTCATACAGAGCCACCATTCTCCGTGTCGACACCGCATGATGCCTGCCACTCCTCCTGCTTCTTTCTGCATAAGTCACAAGGGGTACGAAAGCCATGGTAAATTTATTCCAAAATCAGCAGTGTCCCCCTTCTACCGCCATGTGGGCCAACGTGACGGAGACCTACCATCGTCTAAAAGCTCCTTAGAAAACGCTTCTGCCTTGGGCCAGTGGCCTCACACCTCACATTTTTACGCTTTTGCGCTAGTACGCTTCCCCCTTCCCAGAAACAAGAATGTGTCCTTTCTCCAGTGTGTCCCCTAACTAGAGAGATACAGATGACTCAAGGGATTCCTCCAGGTAGTGGACTGGACGGTTTGGGCCAGCACGGGTGCCTGTGGCTGGGGTGGGCGCCAAGCAGGCAGGCTGAAGGCTGTGGCTTGCGCTGGGGAAGTCCCACAAACACAGTCTCAAAAATGCCTGTCCGTGCAACTGTGACAGTGCAACAAGGCCAAGTCACTCTCCCCCAGAGCAGAGGCAAAGCCACAGCTCTCTCACCAGAAGCAGCAAGAACATAGAAGGGGACACCTGCTCTGCCCATCCTCGTAGTTTCTCAGTCTCCTCTGTGTTCTTTCCCTGTGGTTTTACCAGCTGTCGTGGAAAAGAGGCCACTTAGAGGACCACTGCACTTTCATCATCTGGCCCCGTCTCTGCCTAGGAGGTGCCACGGCCATCATCCCAGCACACCTGGAGGCACAGACGGGGCCGCAGAGGAACTGCCCCAGGTACTGCCAGGCCCGAGAGCCCCACGCAGACAACACGCGGAAACTCTCGGAAAACGTGAGCTATTTACTATGCATGAGAGGGTTCGTGAAGCACCCTGGGGTCTGACCCAAATCACGGAACCCCTGTCAAACTGAAGTTCTGGGGCTGTGAAGAACATTCTTCCTGGAGAAAGGTGGCGTTTATGTGTTTCATCTTTCATTAGAAGATCATGTGTGTTTTTGCAGATATTCAGGTGTATATATGTGTGTAAGCACAGGCGTACTGCAACCCTGGTTTGTAGAGTAAATTTTCACACGACTTTAGCATGTGCAGAAAATGAAAACTGGGGTCCTCCCGCTCAGTGGCAGGTGCCTTGTGCTGTGAGACACATCGGCCATGGCTGAGCGGGGTCCCCTTACCTATCTTCTCCACAGGCGTGTTCAGAGGGAGGAAGCCTTGTCTAAAAAGCTGATCCATCATCTCCTCATCATCCGCCTGGATCTCAGAGACCATGTTGCAAGGAATGAGGCCGAGCCGGGCACAGGTCTCCCCGCGGTAGAACCCGTCAGCGTCCTTATCGCCATAAACCTGGAGCCATGGGGAAAATCAAAACATGTTACAATCAGTCCTGCTTACACTGGAGTCGCATGTAGTCAGGAATAGCTTCAGCACATACTTGTAGAATGGCCCAGATCACCCACATAAATCGTCCCCAGCCTTCCGTGGATGTGGACGTGTGGCCCTCGTTCTGTGACTCCAGGGTACGGGCAGCTCCCTATCCAACGGGCATTTGCTCAGACGACTGCGTGTTTGCACTCAGGCAGGTAAAGGTGTATGCAACAAGAACACACTGTACATAGAAAGGCCGTGTTGGCCGCGTGTAGCGGTGCTTCTGTTGGCCTGAAGTGGGTCCCTCCGTGACAAGACAGGGCCGCGCATCAGGCACTCTGACCACTTTCAAATGCTAGTTGTGTAGACCTGTTCTGAAGTTGCAAACTCAGGGTTCAAGGCTCTGTTTCTCCTGCCCTACAAAGCAGCACGCTTCCTCTTATTCTCTCACTTCAGACTCACTCGGCTCCTGCTCCTCTCAAAAGGCTGGACAGGAAAGGGGACAGGGAACAGCCTGCCCTCTGGTTGTGTCAAGGATCTACAGCGTGGCTGCCCCAGCCTCTGGTTAGTGGACACTCGCCCCCTCCCCTCTTCCTTCGGGCCCGCCTGCGGTTTAGGTCTCATGCGTTGGAAAGTCCTTTTAAATTCAGAGCCTGTGGCATGTTTCTCAACAACACAGGACCTAATGGAATCTGTGGTCCACAGGACATATTTAGGCGTGTCTGTGTGCACGTGTGCACACAACCCTACAAGGCAAACTGGGTGAAGGCACTGCCCCTTCCCACAGATGAGCAGACACCGGGATGACCCCAGCGGGGGACAGGCCCCGGCCAGCACGGATGGCGCCGGGCACGTCTGAGCCACCCTGCTGTCAGGCTCTGCCCCGCCAAGCCCAGACCCTCGTGCGCTCACGCTGCGTCCCCTTGGAGCCCACCTTGATGATCTGCCCCTCTTTGAAGGGAAGCTCCTCCTCGGCAGCGTCTGGGTTCGGGGACATGGTGAGTGGGTCGTAGTCGAAGAGAGCCACGAAGATGCGGGCCTGGAGCTCCTCGGCGCCAGGGTCGGTTTCTGACTCTTCGTAGAAGTCCGGGGAGAGGCGGTCTCGCCCCGAGTACTCATCTGGGAGCGTGTGGGGTGAAGACAGCAACAGGTGAGTCCTCCCGCCACGGCCAAGTTAAGTTTGTGGTTTAACATGCGGGCAGGAGGAGATCAGGAGCCTTGACCAGGATGGATGGGAGAGGCGAGTAACCATTCCAAAGCGTGGTCACGCCCTGGACCTGGCCACACATGGGAAGTACCCACGGGCAGGTGGGCATCTCAACCCCGAGAGAGGGGGCCAGGTGCAGGTGTGACCCCGTAGGATGGCACCCCACCCTCTGCGAAGTGGAGAACAAGCACAACGTGTGCAAAATTATCTGTATGTCAGTCAAAGTCCGGGGGAGGTGGCCAACATGTTCACATAGCTCTAAATACTTAATTGGCAATAAACACATTCTTCATTGCAGCAACTAGTGATTTCCTGGCAGAATTGGGTTTCAACTCTGCATACCCTCCACTTCTAAAACCTATCCTTTTTGAAATTCTAATATATGTATCACTGGATAGCATTAGATACATATGCGTTCACGTGTATGTGTGTGTGTACGGAGCAACACACAACTGACAGGTAATATTGTTCTGGTCCCACGAGGTAGACTCAGAACACCAGCGGGGAAGCGAATGAGGAAGCGCAGTCAGCCGCAGAGAAGGCAGGGCTGGGAGAGCAGCCCTGTCTGGACTCTGTCGCCAGCAGGAGGAAATAGGCGTGGGATGAGAGGACACAGGTGTGCAGAAGGGACAGGACAGGTGGTGGAGAAAGAACCTAGCAATCGGCTTCTTTCACCAGCAAAAAGAAAGAAAGAAAGAAATTAGTTTAAAAATAAAAGCACTTCAGCTGCAGGAAAGGTTGATCTTGAAAATGCAGTGAATTGTTTACATTATTGAAATTCAGGACCTTTTTAGAATGCCTAGATAATCTAAAAATTCAGTAATTTAACTTCTGCCAGGGAATAAAACATTCCCATGGTGGGTGTCATTAATTTCTTCACAGCAGTTTTGACTGTGTTGATGCTCAACAAAAAGACCCGATGACTTTTTTCTAGTTGCAAAAGTTACCTAAATACAGGGAGGAGCTAGAGCATCGCCCTCCTGCAATCCATGAGAAATCGCAGTGGTGTGGTCCCTTCCGCTGCTCACGGGCAGGGCGGAGCGCACCCACACGCGTAAGCAGGACGCTTGTTTGCAATTCTGCACAGATGTGCAGAAGGAACCGAACACGAGTGTTCGTGTGACCTAGAGCACGCGGTCCCCGCTGTGGAAAACCGCCAGCAGAGTACGGCTTCCGGCTACGGCATTTCCCCAGTGGAGTTCATGTGACAAGATGGTGGTGTCAGAGCCCACAGGGGTCAGGAGCTAAGTTAGCACCCACAGAGAGAGTTGGGCACCAGCAACATCCTCCTGGAAAATCTCTTAAGTCACTCCTGTGGTCTACCGAGGAGGGTGTTTTCTCAGTAGCTGGCTTATGTTCAAGGGCTGTGATGTGTGAAAAATCATACTTTTACATCTTTAAGCCCAAAATCGCATGGACCATGACAAGTGGCCACACCGCAGGAGGCATTTAGGCACAGAGACCAAAGGGGCCCCCCCGAGGCTGGTGTCCCACCCGCTCACACTGAGACATCATCTCCTGCATGTTTTCCAGGGAGGTGCAGGTGGAGGTGAGCCCTGCATTGGAAGGGGTGTGGATGGAATCACGAGTGTGAGGCGGCCCCACTGGGTGCTCCTCCAGAGAGGGGGCTCCATGTCTCCCGAGCACCTGCCGCAGTGGGGACAGCCCAGGGCCTGCAGGGAGCAACAGGGGGCTCGTCCCTCTCCCTGGCAGGCTGGGCCAAAGGGAGCACTTACCTGCGCCTCCAGGGCCACCCCAAGAGGGAGTGGGCACTGCCCTGCCCTGCTGCGCAGGTATCCTGGCTGCAGGGATGGGGGTCTTTGCCAGGAGGAAGAAGGGGCTGCCTACCGTGTGGGAGGGCAGGGAGGTCAGGGCTCCTGACTCGCCGCCTGGGCCGGCTCCTGAGTCCACAGGTGCTGCGAGAACAAGCACCGTCTTCTACAGGAGGAATGTGGCCCTCACTACCTGACCGAGACCAACAGCCTCCACTGCTACTGTCCACTGTAATCTCTACGGAGAGAAAGGGAAGCGGCCATTAAACAGACTTCACAGCTTCTCAGCTCTGTCCTTGCGGGGAAACCCGAGGAAGAGTGTCTTTTTTTGGTTGTTGTTAAAGGGCCAACCTTTGTCGACATAGTTATTAACATTTCACTCTTCCTCTCTAGACACAGAAGGAAACCTGCCGTACTTCCTCATCCCGGAAGCTCAGTAGCCAGAAGAATGCAAAATGAAACAAAGTGGAAGACATTTTCAGAGTCGGTTAGTAAGAATAGAATCCTCTCAAACGTGACAATTCGGTGTCACAAGGGTAAACCCTCTGGCCTTCTATCTGACAGGCAAATAACAAGATACATGCAAAGACCTAGAGTTATAAAGGGAAAAACCCAAATCCAACTGAATCTATCTTTAGATATGTCTACCAGTGTTCAGAGGCCTGTTCATGCTAATCATACGATTTAGGATTTATCAGATGTGGAGCTATATAACTTTTGTTTTTTAAATCATGAAGGGCACTGTTTTTTTCTTAAATTTTGGAAAGGCAGAGAATATTAAAAGTTACAGTATTTTCATTTAATTGTGGAACCATTGCCTATTAAAAATACACCGAGGAAGTCTGGTTTACAGACTTGATTTCCTCTGAAAAAGAAAGGTGATGCTTTTGGAATATAGCAGATTTCTAAAACATTAGTTTCTAATAGTTTCACAAGGAAAACAGAACTAAGTAAATGAGAACCAGAGGAAGATGGTGTCTGTCCGAACGTCGCCGACTGATCATTCCCCTAGGCTGCTCCCCTTGCATTCCTCCTCAAGGCAGGTTATAAACACACTTCACCATGTTTCCTTCTGAAAATATAATAGGCACCAAGTCGTGTATATGTACATATGTGTGTGTGTAAAGTGTTTGATTTTAGTTGTGTTTTTATGTGTTTTTGTGGGCTGCCACATGATAAGAAGTCTGCACAATTAAACCAAATCTATCATGGATTTATTACTTAACACTTTTTTAGTTATGTTATTAAGAGGCTTTTTCTTTGTTAAGGTGTTAACACAGAATTACTCTTTTCAACCAATTTAACGAGTGTCTTACTAAACTTAAGACATGTATGCAGCCTTTTGAATTTTTCACCTTAAGAAAAATCCAACCAAAAGGTTCTTCTCTAAGACTGTCTGAAGATGAGGTTCACCCTGGCAAGACTGCAAGCACAGGGTTTTTTTCCTTTGCTTTCTTAAGTGGAGATTTGTCGCAGTGCACAATTTTCAGTTCTCAGCCTAGGAGATTGGAATAGAAGACCCACCGGGCCTCTTCCAAAGGATGCCCTTTCTTATTGCCTACAACATTAGCTTCCCGTGGCTTGAACCTCAACAGTTCACTTAATGAGCAATGCTTGTGGTGGTTTCATTCACTAAACTGCAATCGAATGAAGACTCGAAACCAGCCTCAACAGCAGAGTTTTGAAAAACACAGAGCCTTGAACAGGAAGACTGGCTTTCCCCCAACCTGGCTCTCAAGACAAGAAGTCTCTGACGGGTCATTTGAGAGCCAGGAGAACCTACTTAAGCTCTGTAGTTGTTACAGAAGGAATTATACACAAAATAAAGGAAGATTTGGCATGGTACACTAGGTTTACAACACTCCAGAGGAATTTAGGCTCAGCATATATGTAACTGCTATTAACAGTTGATCTGTAGTAAGTTAAATCAACGTTTTCCGAATCTGTGTGTATTTTGTTATTTTTCAGTTAACTGAAAATACTGTGTTTTATAAGGATCTTTAACATTCTGTGAACTTTTTATTGGTAAACACATTCTAGGACAGGCACGGTGGCTCACACCTGTAATCCTAGCACTTTAGGAGGACAAAGTAAGAGGATCACTTGAGGCCAGGAGTTCGAGACCAGCCTAGGCCACATAGTGAGACCCCATCTCTACAAAAAAATCAAAAAATTAGCCAGGTGTGATAGCATATGCCTGTAGTTCCAGCTACTTGGGAGACTAAGGGAGGAAGATGGCTTAATCCCAGGAGTTCAAGGCTACAGTGGGCTATGATCACTACACTGGACTCTAGTCTGGGTGACACAGCAAGACCCTGTGTCAGTGAATCAATCAATAATGAAAACATTCTAAACACTGTAAAGATAAAACTTTTTTCGCCTATTGTTTGAATTGTATAAGAAAGAAAGTCTGGAAGGGCACAATTTTAAAGGATAAAGTCTTTCTTCATTTTGAGCCGGTAGGAAAGATGACCAATTGTCTTTTAAATTTCAATGATTTGAATGTGATTAGAGTCCACTTTTCAGCAGCCTAGACTACTGGACATTGTTTTCCTTCAGCCCTGTAACACCAAATCTAGATGTTTTGTTTTCATCTATTTCAAGTAACAGTTCTCATTGCTCTGTTTCACGTGTGTGTATGTGTATGTGTGTTTTCATTTGTGCTGATTACCGGGTTCCATTATCTTGTGCATAATACTTTTTGGAATTGTTGCCATGATGCATTCCAATAATTGGGGTATTTCCATCCTACCTTCAGCCACATACCCCCGAAGCAGGTGGACTGGGATGGCTACGATGACAGCTTTCAGCACGGCTGGCCGAATTCCAAAAAGTAGTTAAGAGAATGGAAACAGAATGCCAGGTGATGACTCGGGAGCGGCAAGGTGACCAGATGGATGATGGGGCACAGTTCAGGGGCACGTTCGGCTGACAGCACGTGCTGTGGCTCTCGGCTCCAGCTGCCAACGTGTCATACCCATACAGAAACTCTCAGTTACTCAGGGCCTGCTTCCATGGGCTTTAGCCCCAGGCATTCCAGGAAAGCCCAGCCAGGACAAGCAGTGGGCACAGGCGACCCCATCAGCACTACTCTGAGAGGCTCTCCAGCGAAAAGTCGGCAGGGAGAAGACTGACATAAAAAGCCAATGTTATACTTTGAGGATACTGATAATGGGTTTTATTTATCCTGCTGTGCCATTCTTGCCCTCTTTCTGCCATAAATAACTGAGAGTTTTCTGTATTTAGCTGAAAATGCTACTCCTAAAAAAAGTTGTCCAAATGTTTAGATGCAGGACTGAGTAGCCACATGCCCTGCGGTGGAAAGAGCGCGAGAGAGGCGCCGACGGGCCACTAACCAATGGACGGGACAGGCATCGGCCGGGACCGCTGAGGACCAGGGCTGCCGCGGGGAAACCTCCGGCCCACGTGATCCACCCTATCTGCCCGTCCTGCAGACGCCGGGTTTCCTAAGATCTAAAGACAAAACAGTGACAAAGTCGTAAGTCTTGCCAACCTTTGGGAGGAAAGAATTCAGTTAGCCAAATCAATTCGATTGAGAAGCAGAAGCTCTAAAGGCAACTAAACTTAGCTTTTAACTGAAAGGTTAGCTGAATGCCCTGGAAGAGAACAAAGCTGTTGCCTGGCACCCCGTTCCCCATGTCAGAGTCCCAGTTTGACACTCGGGTTGGGGCAAAAGTAACTCCTGGGGAGGTACCTTTTTGTTGCTGCTACTGCTGCTGAAGCCAAACACCTTGGACCAAAATGACAACGGTTTAACACAACTGATCCCGCTGTGGGCACCTCTGAGCTTTCACCCCTGCCTGGCCTCCATGTGCCCTGCCCCACTCCCCGGCAGCTGCCACAAAAGTGGGGTCAGTGCTGCAATTCCAAATGTCCTGCCTAGATATAAGTCGTAGGAGATGTTTCCAAAAACTTTCCTTATTTTATCAGCTTTGAAACTCACACACACACCTTCGCCCTAATCTGAAGCTGCTGGTGATACTCTAGGGCTCACTCGGGTGGCTCTCCTCTCCGGGAAAGCGCATCCCCTAATTCAGACTTAAGAGTGGAGTTGGCTAAAGAGCATTAAAACAAAAACCTCCAGCCTGCTAGGAAGTCCACTGAGCGAGGAGGTTCTCAGGAACACAGGAGTAAACCGTGAGCAGGGGTCCCGTGCCTGGGGTGCGGGCTGCGGGCAGCTGGCGGGTGAGTCCTGGGGTGTGGCTCAGCGCCTCTGGTGGACTCATCAGAGAGCGTGGCTCAGACCCGAGGCCTGGCACCATGTGGACGGCTCACCTGTCTTTCAGTGGAGGGGTTAGCATGACCGGAGCGAATGTTCTGGAGAAAGGACACAGTGCAGAGATGAACGAAGCCTTGAATGGGACCTACTCTCCAAACCGGCTAACACGGATGTCTGCAGCCACAGGTGGAGGCGGACAATGGAAAAATCATTTTGCAGACTGTCAATGCAGAAACCAGGGGGTAAAAGCCAAAAAAACCTTGGAAACAATATGCAAAAGTAGATTTCTTCAATAATTGTTCTCCATTTTTTCCAATTATGAATGAAGGCCAAAAAAACAAGTGGAAAAAAACCCCTTCAGTAATACTAATAGTTACAAATAAGTCTCTAAGGATCATTTTGGAAAAAAAAAAAATATGTTGTCAAACTTTGAGCTAATCACAGTTCAGCTAACCCTTAATTAAAATTTAGATTCAGTTGTCCTTTAATTAAAGCAGCCACAATCATCGCTGATTCTGGGGGGCGGGAATCGTTATATCTAAAGCAAAGGAAAGATCTTCAGCATGGTCAAAAGATCGGGAAGCGAATGGGACTTAAATCAAAAACGCAGGGAAAACTAAAGAGCAGCAGCGAGAGATTCCCCAGGGATGGACACCAAAAAAAACCCCAAAAAAAACAAAAAACAAAATGAGAGAATGCAGACGATCGGTCGGGCGGGTGGAGTGAGGGCGGTTTACTGCACACACCGCAGGGCCTCGCGAGGCGCGGGGAGCCGGCTGTGCGTGCTGGGCGGCCCTGCTGTCAGGCCCGGCTACGCTTTTCCTGCAGACACCCCGAAACTCTTCTTGCTCCACCGACTCGTCCCAGCCGTGCTTGCTGGGGGCAGGCCTCTCTTCGCCCCTGAGGACAGCACCGGGGTCCTCCTGCTCCCAAAAGTCCTCCTCAACGCTGCTCTGCCGGGTCAGAGTGCGCCGCCGGGCCAGCGCGGGCCGCGGGGTCCTGGCGCAGGGCCAGCGCCCCGGGCTGCACACGGCCGTGGCGCTCCCGAGGCCAGCCCGCAGCTCCTCCTCGCTGCCGCAGTCCAGGCCACTGTCCGGGCTCCTGGCGGCCGAGCGGCTGAGCCGGCAGCCTCTGTCCTCGGGGAGACAGTCCTCCAGGTAGGGTGCGGCCCCAGGGACCCTGTGCCAGGCTGGGAGCCGGGAGCCCGGCGGAGCCTCGTCCCCCCTGCGCAGCCTGGCGCGCCTGGGCTCTCCGGGCAGCAGCGCCCGGGCCCTGGGGGACGCCCGGAGGCCCTGCCTGTGCAGCAGCTCGCAGCACTCGGCCTCCTCCTCCGCTACTTCGGGGATACTGAAAAGCCTCTTCCTGTGCCGGGGCTGCTGCTCCGAGAAAGCGCCTTCGGAGGTCCGATGCTCGGAGCACTCCTTGGGGGTGGCGTGTCGGGGCGGGTGTGGGGAGGGCAGGGCGTGACCACGCATGAAGTGGGCGCGGGGGAGAAAACACACACGTTAGTGTCCGAGGCGATGAGGGCGCAGAGCATGCGTCCGGCTGCGGCATGCTCCGGCGGGTGCGGCCAGCGTGCAGAAGCTGGGCGGGGGGGGGCAGGGGACCCCTGCAAGGCGCGCCGCTGCTGTGTCCTCAGAACCCCGAGGCAGCTGCTATTGGAGTCTAGCTGACCGGCGCTGGCTCCCCAGAGAGCTAGGCCCGTTCCTGTCTGTCCCACTCAGCCACATTCTCCTCCTCGCACTCAGCACCCCCTTTTCTTCCTGCTGGCATCTCACCTTTCTTCTCGGTCGGCTAAAATAACGTAAGCTACGTGAAACCAGGCACCTAGACACTAGCGCCCGGGAATAGCACCAGCGCACCATCGCACTGGTTACCGTGGGCAAAGGCCTGAGTCTACCAGTCTGTCCTCTGCACCCTGCACTTGGAGCCCTGAAGAGCCGGTGTCGGAGACGCGGCGGTCTCTAGCGCCTGGCGCAGGGCTGGCTGCGCCGTGGGGCTCCTTGATAAACTCGTGGAACTTACGCTTGCCCTGTCTCCGCAGGCATCCTGTTCTCTGCCAGGAACAGCCCTCAAACTCACCCTCCACCTGAAAAATGTGAATCACACTGAATGACACTCCTACCCAGCCTCTCTCCTCGGGGGCCCTGGCCGGCTCTCAGGCCTACATCCTGCCCCTTGCCTCCCCTGCCAGGTAGAGGTGAAGCACCTATGCCGGCCCCCTGGGGTTTACCTGGTGCAGGATCTGCCATGGCCTGCACCTGGCTACCAGCCAGATGAGAGGGCCCCCTGGGCACACATTCTGGGGCAGATGTCTCTCTCCCCTTTGCCGAGGCCACATTCTGGCGTGCATACTCTGGGGAATGTCAACCAGGATCGGCTGAAGGACACCCAGAAAGAGCCACCCTAGAGCACAGGGAGGTAGCCCCTGGACTCTCCAGGCCAGGTGGGGACCAACGGGAGCCCAGCCAGAGCTCTCCGCCACCTCTTGGGACGTCCCAAGAGAATCCAGAAACCCAGACCAGCCTGTGACATCTCCTGATCCATAAGCACACTACATGGGAGGAGAAGTGAGCCTGCTGCCGTCCCTGCGCCCTCCTGCACGTGACCCTGCGCTGTTGTTTCTAAGAGGTGGGGGGGGGCTTTGCCTGTGTGGTGGGGCTTGGCCCTGTGGCCTTATAACCAACATGCTCTCCCCCCTGGGCTTCCTCCCAAGGAGAGGCAGTGACTTTTCCTTTCCTTGCTCAACTGTTCTTGGGAAGTACCACCCCCCAATCTTCCTCCATCAAAAGGAAAATCACTGTAGCAAGTGGGAAGAACAGGTGTACCCCTCACCTAGCCCAATTCATAAGCACTTCCAGGCATCGCTAGGTTCCAGGGCACAGCGTGGGGAGTTGGGGGAGGTGGGGTCAGGCTGGACCACTCAGGAGAGGCCAGTGTGAATCCTGCTCAATGGTGTCACCCTGGGAGCTGGGGCAGGGGAGAAGGGAGCCACCAGGAATTGCACGCAAGCTGCAACCATGCAAGATTTGCATAGGGATCTGGCATGTTCTTTGGTGACAAGATATCCCCCAAGGCCCTGCCAGCGGCCTTTGCTGGGAGAACATAGGTCAGTCTGTCTATGCAAGGAGGTGCCGCGTGGGTGGGCCAGATTCGGATGTGCCTCTGCCCACCATCCAGAGCACACGGCTCTGCGTTGCCAGAGAAACGCGACACTAGAGGCTCCACCCCTGACAGGAGTTTCCTTTCCAAGGCGTTTTTCATTTTGGAAACCCACAAAGGTCCTGCTAGTGGCCTGGCCCTGTGTCTGTCTCCCCGCTGGACTGGGAACTACTGGAGGTCGGGGGCTGCCCTCGGCCTAGTGCGGGGCCCGGTGCCCAGAGGTGGTCAGCCCCGTGGCTCCGTGGCGCAGGCAAAGGTGCGAGCTGGAACACTGCCCGTCAGCAGCAGCAGCAAGGAAAGAGGGTCGCTACCTCTAGAAACACCCAACCTGCCGGCTTGGGTGGCCTCAGTATTCATGAAGGTAGCCCTCCGCCTTGGGGAGCAGCAGGTGGCGGGTGCTGGGCCTAGCAGGAGGTGGTCTGGACAGGGCATTGGACCCACCAGCCTGCCTGTGAGGGGCTTGTGTAATCAGCCCCTGGGATGACCCACCCAGCCCTCCTCCGACCTCGCCTTGCTGGGCTGATGCCCACCCACAGGGCAGGGCCGCCTTGACTCCTTCCTCTTAAGGAATCTTGTGCAGCCCCCTGGCCCCACGCTTTCCTGTCCCACTTCTGACTCGGAGGCTGCTTCTCTCCAGGATGAGACCCAAGGCTGGGTTGCAATTGTCTCCTGTCCTCTCACTTCAACCCCAGCACAGTGCCAGGGCCCCTAGAAGGCACCATGTGGATTCCCCCAAACCGGGCGGGGGGCACAGCTAATTCCTGAATGCAGATTCAATAGTGAGAAAGAAGCGAATCCAAATCCAGGGGCTGCTATGCAAGGCGAGGCCCCTCTGGCTCCGGGACTATGTGGAGGGCCCTGAGTCCCCTCCCCGAGGCCACTGACCTTGAGAGCGTTGTGGGAGGTGCCACTGGGCCGCCTCCGTCCCCCATCTTCCAGCTGCATCTCAGAATAGAGCTCCTCCTCGTCTTCCTCCATGATGTCGGAGAGGTCTGATCCCCGGCTGCTCTCGGTGTGGTAGTCATCTCCATGGCAACAGTGGGGCTGGGGGCCAAAAAGAGGGGACACTGATGGAATGGCGTCTCAGCACCACGTGGCTCCTCCAGCACTGGGGGCTGCCGAGATTGCCCTGCCTGGCCCCATCCCCTCTTGGCAGCTCTCACAGCCCGACGCCTGGAGACGTGCACAGGTGTGTGGGCGTGTGCCGCGCAGCTTAGGGTAAGGAAAGCGAGGACAGAGGGCATCCCCATCCGAGCCACACCGTGAGCTGGATGGCAGAGATGGGACCAAGGCAGGTCTCCCAACTCCAGCAGCCGGAACACCTGTTGGGGCTCATGAGACACACAGGCAAAACGTCCCGTTTCTGGGTACCCTCAGCTTCTCCAACTCCCTGGCTGGACAAAGGGTCACGCCAGAAGTTGCAGCTCCAATGACAGTAGGGATTGGACACTGCACGTGAACAGGGTGGGGCTGGAGCGGTACAGTGGTGCGTGCGCGCCACGAAAGGCACCTCAGATCTCAGAGAGCACCAGGTGCTCGCCACTCGGCCCGGTCGGGGCAGGAGGCGGAGGCCCCTTGCAGGCTGGGTGGTCCCCGACACCAGAGGAAGGAAGGGACACGAAGAGGAGGCTGGGGTGGCGTGAAAGGTTTGACAGAACATGTCTCTCAAGATTAAGAGGACGCTGCGAACGTGCCAACTTTGAGATCCCGGTGGCCCGGGCAGACTGGTGGTGGCGGTGCCACTTCAGCTCAGCAGCCGCTGCGCTTGCAAACGACGCACTCCATCGCTCGATGACTCGAGTGTTTAAAGCAAAACAAGTCAAGCTCCAGCAACTCAAACTGCACGCTCTGACGAGCTCAGACCTGTGAACGTGATACATCCATAAAGATGTTCTGGTTTGCTACATGGCGTTGATTAAGAACAGTTTCTTTATTTTGCTCGTGGGCAGCAAGACAAATGGGTCTAATAGCATTCTGTGACATGTTTACTAAAAATACTCGGGTTTCAGTGACTAACGGAGACAAAGATGTGTAAGCACTGCGAGTCACAGCCAGCCGGTGGCCCGCCGAGGACCGTGTGAGCGCTGCAGGCAGGTGTTTCTCCACACTGTGCCCGCAAGAGGGCGCACAGCAGCCGTCTCGGCGGAGCAGTCTGCAACACCAGCATCTGAGCCGCTCCAGCCCTGATTCTTTCACTCGCGCAACAAGTGGAAGACGTGAAAGTGAACTGATTTTTAACAAGGATCAGACTGGTTTTTAATGTGGTTTTCCCGAGGCATACGGGGAGGACATAAGAACACAGTCTCATCTTGCTCAAGCCCAGCGGTGACTTGGGGATAAACTCGTGGGACGGAAGGAGGAGCTCTCCCCTCAGAAGAGTGTGGTACAGGTGATGTCCAGTGACTTGCTCAAGGTGACCACCTGGTGAGAGATGCCAGGGGCTAGGTCCGGTAGACCCTGAGCGCCCAAAGCAGTCCCACTGCGTCTGCCGACAGAGGACCCGGCCTTAGAAACGCCACCTCTTGTGTGCTTTTTCCTTGGGGGACATACAGCCTTGCCCTTCAGTCCTCAGCTGCAAATGCCAGCAGGTGGACCCTTTCCTGGGACGGAGGAGGCACCGGAGGAGGCACCTGAGCAGACGTACCGGGCCAGCTGCCAGAGGAGGCTTGTGCTGATCAAGTTCACTCACAAGGAAGCCGAGGCAAAGCTCCTCCCACACAAGACAGGATTTTAAACCTCACTACAACAAACTTCGGTTCCTGTCGCCCAGCAACCCACCTTGCCCTGGCCAGAACAGAAATCCCAAATTAAATTCCCCACTTAAAAGCCTCTTTCCTTCTCTTAGATTTAACAAAGGTACAAACTTTTAGTTACAAGAAAACAAGTTCTGGGATCTGATGTTCTGTGTGGGTGACAATGGACGTGCTGATTGATTTAATTGGGACAATGTCTACGTATACCCAATCATCTCAACTATTTGTCAATAAAATGCTTTACAATAAAAATCGACTGATAACTAAATATTGGTATATCGAATCATTGGTATATCAAACATTTCTTGTTGTGGATTTACTATGATGGTACCTTTGAAGTATTAGGAGAATTAAGGCAACAGCTATAACCTCTGCCTCCCCCCTCCCTTCGCTCATTAATTCAGTAAATATTTGAGCAACTCCTATCTGTGACACGCTGCAGACACAGTGGTCAGCCAAAAGGTGAGGCTTCTGCCCACGAGGAGTGTTGGGCTTGCTGAACTCATGAGATAAAACCAGTAACGGGCTAGCGGGCGGAGGTGCCCAAGGAAGGCTTCCTATGACATGGGGTAACGAAATATCTCTATTATCTTAGTCATGATTAGCTGGGCATTCTGTTTCTTGTGCTAAAATTAATGCAAATGGGATGATTTTACTCTTACAGAGGAAGCCCCTCATGACTAGAGGAGCTGGTGCCTTCTGACGCGTGATGCTGCGACCAGCGGGGACAGAGTCAGGAGGTTAGTCCAGGTCTGTGGGACCCCAACCCCCCTCTTGTCGGGTTGTCAGGCCGCCCTGCTATAGAAGCAGGTACGGACGGCACTGGGTGATCCGACATCCTAAGATTTTAGGACTTTCAGGCCCTTGGCTATTCCAACCCTCCTGCTGTCCGATTTCAGTTCTTCACGCCATTCGAGGGCATTTCCATTAGAACGCGCGAGATGAGGTGGCCCCGGATGGGCTGAACGTGTTATTTACGATCTAGCTCGGACGTTCTGCCACTCTGAGGGCAGGGTATGGGCAGTTTCTTTCTGAATCCCCCATGACGTCTGGCACAGAGCCGGTGTCCAAAACACATCTGTCCAATTAAGGGAAGTGAATACACAAATGGCAGGTTTTGCCTAAACAGAGAGCAGGTGGTTACCTGCGGACTACCCCTAAGTCTGACCCACGGGACTGGCCCCATGACCAGACCCCAGCAGGGAGGATCGGGGCAGGGAGAAAGTCTCACATTCAGACTTTTGAAATCGTCCCCAAATGAGGTTATATGCACAGGCATTGTTACGCCTAAGCTTCAACCCTAGCATGACTGTCTCGACCCGGGCGGACATCTCTCCCCCTCTCGTGCACCCAAGGTGGCGGGGGGAGACCACGTCTCCTGACTTCCAGGGAGCCTGCCCCAAGCCGCTGCCCGCCGGGCGCCGACGGCGTGGGCGGCCAGCACTCACCGGCTTGCCGAGCTCAGACCCTCTCAGGAAGTCGTCCACGGACGCCCCTCTCCTTTTGATGTCGGGGGGCTCGTAGCCATCCTCCTCGTCCGAGGGGGCGTACTGCCCCACGCTGCTCCGTTCCAGGAAGATGCTCCTTTTCTCTAACTTGGAAAGAAAAAGGAGACGCAGGGCTGAGCGGGAGCTCTCAGGAGGGGCCAGAGCAGCCGCCAGAGCTCCCAGGCGTGCTGGGCCCACTGATGGGCCCCGCGGCTCGAGCCTGGCCACGCGCCCGCTCCCTGCCCCAGGCTGCTGGTTCCCCACGTTGTCCCAGCAGGGCGACACCAGGCGCCCCACACTGACAAGCATCACGCCTACCTGTGCTCAAGGTAATGCATGGACACACACGAAAATCTCACCGCCCTCCACGGGTCACTTTTGCCCAGCTTTTAATTTTATCAATTAATGCTTTCTAGAAATTCAGAAGTATCTGCTTTCTCTCTGGTCCTCTGGGGAGAGCGCTACGGCTGTCAGCCCGAGGCCTCCGAGGGGGCCTGTCCAGAGTGATGGCCGCACCCAAAAGGCAGAGGGGCAGCACCCCCACCACCCCCTCCCTGCCTGGGGCTCCCCCAAAAGCACCAACTCCCGAGGCCTCCTGTGGCCTAGGGCTCCCGCCAGTGAGCCGATCAGAGCCAGATGGATTTGCACGTTCTGAAGGCATTCCTTTAGTCAAAGGTCACAAATTCATGTGTGTGTGTTTTAAAGTATAAGTGACCAATGTTGAACAAACTAGGAGACTTCCTGAATTCCTGCTTTTTCAGGAGGCGCTGGGGCGCTGCCTGGGCAAGTGTGCCGGGGGCCAGGGCTGGGGCCGACAGAAGCCCCTGCTCAGCCACTGTCCTCCCTCTGTCCCCTCAGATGCCACCTGCGCTGCTCGGCTGTCCCCTCGGGGTGTGTGCCCAGAGGGGCTGATGGGAGGGGGGTGTCCCAGCACCAGCACCATCCTCTCCAGGCGTCGCCACCCTGCTGAGACCCGACAGGCTGACCCGGTGCCGAGGGCCCCAGCCGGGGGCTGCGCCGCTGCCTCTGAGATGGGGACTCTGGCTCCCCACGCGAGGAGGGGGCTTGTCCCAGGCAGAGAGGGGCACACGGTCTGGCTCCGGTCCAGACCCTACTCCCTGAGTCCTGGGTGGGAGGCGTCACTTTATAGAAGATTTCTTAAAAGTTCACGTCTCTTTGCACACCTCAGGTCAAATGTGGCCCTACCGCGATCCAAATACTCCCTCTGCTTGACTCAGAAAACTGCTAGTAACAGGCATGCAAATACGTGCGTACGTGTGTGTCCATACACACCTCTGTATGTCACTAACGCATGCATACCTCTGTATGCGTTAGTATGTGTACAGATGTGTATGTCTACATATGTATGTGTCTGTACACACACACACACACACACACGCTGTGAAGTGAGGGAAACCCCAGAGCGCCCCGTTCGGGAAGTTGGGGGTGACCCTCAGATCCCACGGCACAGACCAAAGCCCCTGTCGCGCGTGGGTTTGTCTCAGCCCACCTTCCAAGCCAGGCACGCGCTGGCATTCCTTAGCTCTGGCTAAATATTTGCAAATGAAAACAATGCAGTCCACGCAGGGCCAGGAACAAGACACGTCCAAGGGGAAGGTCCGAGGGTGGGCTCCGCCTCTGCCCCCCAAGCCCGCAGGGCAGCTCTGGGTGTGTGTTTGGGGGGCCTGTCTCCTGCACAGGCTCCGGTGCCGAGGGGTTGGCTGCCGCGCGGGGCTCGGGGGACAGGAAGTGCTCCAGGAGCAGAGGGGCCACCAGGGGGCCGACCCAGCTTACCCTGCTGCTCTCAGCCACTCTCTGCGCGGCTTCCCGGGCCATGGCCTTGGCGACGGAGGTGGACACCGGGGCCCCCTGCGGCTGCGGCAGGATCCGGCTGGGCGAGGGCGACCTCCTCCCCGAGCCGGGCAGTCCCGGCGGCTCCAGCGTGTGCCCATGCGCAGGCGCAGGTGTGCGGCCATGCTCCCAGGGCTCATCCATCCTGGCGTGGGGACCCAAGTGTTCGTCTTTGGTATCGGGGGCTCCGGCACTGGCTGGTGGCTTTGGCGTGGGAGCAGTCCTCGGGTGTGGGGGTGGGGACACCAGCAGGCCGGGGGGAATGGCAGCGACGCCGGAGTCCACCGACTCGCCCTGCGCCGAGAAGGTGCGCACGGTCACACCCTTGGCCTCCAGGCTCCGCAGCCGCAGGAGCTCCACCGCCACGCTGTCCGCCGTGGGGAAGATGACCTCGGCCACCTGCACACAGAGAGCGCCGTCCTGGTGCACCCGCCGGGCCCCAGCCAGGCCCCGCGGCCAAGGATGGGGCCACCCACACCCCGGTGCAGTCGCGCAGCCCGGGGAGTCCCGAGTGTGGCGGGGGCCTTGACCGGCTGTCGGGAATCGGCGCGGCCGGTTCCGCAGGCCCGTTCACCGCCCATCTTCTGCACCCGCTCAGAGTAGAGGCCGGGCCGCAGAGGAGTCTGGAAACGGCGTTCCCGCCGCACTGGAGGGAAGCAAGCCGCTAGGCAGAGGCTGACAGGGACTCCAGGGGCTCTGGCCTCTCCTGAGGGGCACGGCCCAACCCTGGGGCTGCCACGCGGGGGCGCGGAGGGCAGAGCCGGGAGCCGCAGGAGGCAGCCGGGCAGCCAGAGACGGCTCAAGGCCCCAAGGCCGTTCCCGGCCACCCCTGCTCCTGAGGGGCCGGTGGGGACGGAAGGCAGGGAGCTTCCCCAAGCCTTCCCCAAGCCTTCCCCGGGCCCCCTGCTTCTGCTTCTCACCAGGCAGGGGGGGCTGGCGTGGGCCCCTCCACGGGGCACCAGGGCCTCCTCCGTTTCCTGGCGTCAAGGCCCAGTTGCCTGTCCCAACCCTGCAGAGTGTCCCAGGAGGGACCCACACTTGGCCGTCAGTAACATCTGGCCAAGAATCAGTTTGTTGCCATGAGTAAGGCAGTCGCTGTGGGGGTAAACTCTGATACCAGGGGACTCAGAGAGGTGAACTTTTAAACACCGGGTGGAGGAAAACCAAACCAAACAAACAAAAGCCAGGAGCTGGGCAGGAAATCAGTGAGGGGAGGGAGACAGAGAAAATTCTGGAAACAGGAAGGGGCCAGAAACAGTGGGGCAGACGTTTCCTGGACCATCCTTGGCTGGGGTGGACATGGGGCAGGATAAATGCTGGTGGAGACTGAGGGTTGAGGATGCTCCAGTGATCAACCCTAAGAGGGGGTCGTCCCTGCTCCCCTGAGCACACGTGGGGCCAGTCCCTGCAGTGTCAGAGCCTGATGACCCCAGCCCTGGCCCCTCCAAGACTCACCCTCTGCCCTTTTGCGTACACGCCGTAGCCGGTGACATTGGCTCCGTTGGACAAGCCGGTGGGAGTCAGAGCGGGTGGTTTCCAGGAGACCTGGATGGTGGCGGGGGTGGCCCCAGCTTGGATGGTGACATCTTGTGGGGGGGCTGGAGGGCCTGGGAGGGGACAGAAGGGAAGAGGCGTTTTCAGGGACGGCTTTGGCAGGTGGGCTGTGACTGCGCTCTGCCTGCCTCACAGGAAGGTCACCAGGGAGAGACGGGAGAGGACGCGGAGCATTGCAAGCAAACCAGAAATGCCGTGGGAGACGCCACCAGCTACCAGGATGCACAGCTGCACTTTTCTTTTTAAACTCAGCACTTATTCATCCTTGTCTTGGAAATGTGAGGCTCCGTTGTGTCTGGGGAAGCCATCCCCTCCCCTGTTCTCAGTCCATGTGACTGGACAGTGCCACCCAGCCCAGGAGACAGGCTCAGGGAGGGCCGGTGAGATGCCCACGCTTGGCAGATGGAAGTGATCCCTGTTGCCCCCTTGTCCCCCAGAGAACACAAGCCTGAACCTCACCACCCGTCTACCACCCGTGACATTGAGCAACACTGAACGACGGAGAGACACCAGGCTCTGATGAAGCCCTTTGAGCTGAGACTCCAGCTCTCACGCGGACTTTCAGTCGCATCAGCTGCCGTGTTCCCTTCTGTGCCTGAGCCAGTCCGAACTGAGCTCGCTGATCTCCCGAAAGGCATCCTGAGTGGCTAACCCAGGCCACAGGCCAGCAGTGGCCACGTCATGAGGCACTGCAGGTGGAGACTGGTGCCCTCAGGATGCTGACCCTCCGCTCTGACACCTGAGGGTGGCCCCCTTTCCTCCAGGTCTGGGGTAAAACTCCCCAGATCTTCCTGTTTGAAAGTGCGGATCACTCTGCTTTGGAAGGAATATACTGGTAACTCTGAAGAGGACTATGAGCTTCAGGTACTCGGACGCCTTGCTCAAGTCCCCAAGGACTTTCTAGACCAGAGAGCAGTGACTACCTCACCTTCTTCCACTCCCTTTACACGCTTTACATCACGTCATCCTCACAGCACATTATCATTGTGCAGATGAGGAAACAGGCTCAGGGAAATCAGTCTGCTAATAAGCACTGGAAGTACTAGAAGGATTCACCCAAATAAAGCAAAAGCAATGGCACTTAGAATCAAACTACCGAACACCAAGGAGAAAAACCTCGAAAGCTGCCAGAAGGAAACCATAGCAGTGACAGCTGACACGTTACGGAAACAATGAAGGCCAACAGAAAATGGAATGCCATCCTTAAAGTGCTGAAAAGAAAAATAGTCTAGGATTCTAATCCAGGAAAAACATTTTCAAGGGAAGGTGAAATAATGAGTTATTTTAGATTAAAAAAAAAAACATACTTCAAGAAATTCTAAAGGGAATTCTTCAGGGCTAAGAGGAAATGATCCCAGTTGGAAATATGGACCCTCAAAAAGGAGGAAAAAGGAGTGGTGAAAATTATAAATAGGTTGGGGAATATTGAAGACTGTTTTCTCAACTTTCTCAAAGGCAAATATGTAAAGAAAAATAATAATGTACTAAGGGGCTGTAAAATATGTAAAAGTAAAATATATAAAAACAATAACAGAAACAAAGCAGCACACATGGCATTATAATGCTGTACTATTTTTCCATTGTAAGTAAGTTGGAATGTTTAATTTGAGGTAATTTGTAATGAGCTAGCATGCATGTTGTACTCCCTATAACAGTCTCTAAAACAATAATACAAGGTACTATTTCCTAAAAAGTGTCAATAGAAGAAGGACAATGGAATTTATAAAATTCTCAGTCAACCCAAAGGAAGGCAAGAAAAGATGAACAAAAATAAAGCACAGAGGGGGCAAGTGAAAATTAAAGAATAAGATAGCAGACTACATCAAGTCGTACCAACAATCACACTAAAAGTAAAGGGACTAAACATTCCAATTAAAAGTCAGAGATTGTCAGACTATTATAAGATCCAACTACAGACTATTTACAAGAGACACACTTAAATATATAAAGATACAAAGAATTTGAAAGTAAAGGTTAGAAAAAGATATATGTAAACATTAAGCATAAGAAAGCTGGTGACCATATGAATATCAAACAAGATAGACTTCACGACAAGAAACACCACCAGAGAGGAGACATTTCATTATGAGAAAGGGATTAATCCATTAGGAATAGTTTACAATTTCAAATGTATATGCAACTAATAAGGGAGCTTAAAAATATATGAAGCAAAAACTGGGAAAACTAAAGAGAAAACAAGACAAATAGTAACTCTCAATAAAAACTGATAGAACAAGTAAATAAAACCCAGTAAGCATATGGAAGATTTGAAGAGCTCTATTAAATCACTTGACCTAATTAACACTTATATACCACAACACCAGACATGCAGAACACACATTCTTTTCAAGTACATCCGGAATATTCACCAAAGTGGACCATATACATGGCCATAATACATGTCAAATGACTGAACTCGGATAGGGTATACTGTCCGATCACAAAATAATTCAATTAGGTACTGATAATAGTCACATGTATTTTTTAACCCTCAAATATTTATAATCGTAATTAAGCAACCTATTTGTAAATAAAGAAAAAAAAAGACCCCATATGGGAAATTGGAAACTATTTTAAACTGAATGATGATGGAGGAGAATATATCACATATTGTGGGCTGCAGGCCAAACAGTGCTTAAAAGGAAACTTATCAGTTCAAATATTTATACTAGAAGCAAGCTAGAATAGTTAGAATAGCTAGAAGATTATGTTGAACCCAAAATAAATAGAAAAAGATAATAATAGTATGAGTGGAAATCAATAAGATATAAAAATCATAAAAAATAAACTCAACCAAGCCAAAAGATCTTTGAAAACATAAATAAACTCAAGTCTGATCAAAAAAGAAGCAAGCATAACTTACTAATAAGAATTAAAGAGGAAACAACTACAAATCTAAAGGCACTTTAAAAACAATATATTAATACTATGAATAATTTTATAAGAATAAATTAGATAATTTAAATGAAATGGAGAAATTCCTTGAAAAACACACTTACTGAAAAGGACAAATTAGGAAATAGAAAATCTGAATAAGTCTGTCTCTATTAAGCAAACTGAACTTGTAATTTAAAGCATTTCCACAAAGAAAACTCCAGGTCCAGATGGCTTTACCAGTGAATTCTGTCAAACATTAAAGAGCTGCTGATGTGCTCAACCAGGATCGTGGACATCAAAGGAGGAGAAGACGTGGCAGGTGCCACGTTTTACGCCCCCTCCCCCGTCTGCACGGTTTCCCCAGGAGGGAGTGGAGCAGGGGCTCTCCCTGGCCCGGCTCAGAAGGCGGAGGCGGGCACTGCAGCTCTCACTGTCCATGTGCCCAGGACCCCGGGTCACTTCCGCAATGGGACTTCATCTCTGCCATGAAATCCATCTATGTGGCTTAAAAACGTTAAACAGAACGAGAAAGGAGGAACAGTTCTGGGAGGAGCCCAGCGCGTCCATCTGCCCTTCCACGCCACGAGCACGTGTTGGGGGAGAGCATGGTGGGGACGATGTCACTGTCCTGTCCCCTGGGATGGACTCACTCTCCTCCTGTCTTTTATAGGATAGAAGTGCTGAAAGAAACACTGTCAACTGCACGATCCCCGGGGCCATGGACCGGTTCTGGTCCGTGGCCTGTTAGGAGCCGCACAGCAGGAGGTGAGTGGCGGGGGAGCGAGCGGAGCTTCGTCCGTATTTACAGCCACTCAGGCACCGCCCGAGCTCTGCTGCCTGTCAGATCAGCGGCGGCATTAGATTCTGCATTGTGCGAGCTGTATAAATATGTGGCGATGTCATGATAACAGAAACAAAGCACACCATAACTGTGACGTGCTCGAACCATCCTGAAACCACCCGCCCCCCCAACTTCCCCGGGGTCCATGGGAAAATTGTCTTCTGTGAAACTGGTGCCTGGTGCCGAAAAGGTTGGGGACGGCTGCTCCACGTGATTCTCAGGGCTGGTGCAGACTGCACGTGGGACCCCCACTTGTCCCCACCCCTAACCGCCCCACGTGCAGGCGACGTCCCAGTGTCCGCTCCCTCAGGTGGCCCACGGAGGAAGGGCTCGGCTCACCTGCGGGCAACGTGGAGAACTCCACGGAGGCCTCCTTCTTCTCCCTCTGCTCCAGCGGCAGCTGCCACGGCATCTGGTGGGGCCTGGCCAGGACGCGCACCTTGTAGGCCGCGTTGGGCCTGAGGTTGCAGAGCTGGTACTGGTACCGCGCGGCCTTGACCACGTCGAGCTCCTCCTCGTTGAGGAAGATGACGTGGCTGTAGTTGCTGTTGGTGGGCAGCCAGGAGAGCCGGGCGGAGACCTGCGTGACGTCGTCCACGCGCAGGTGGGCGGGCGCCACCACCACGTCCTTGCCCACCAGCAGCGTGCACCGCAGCTCGTCGGAGCTGCCCCTGCCCGTCACGCACTGCACGGAGATGCGGTAGGTGCGCGCGGCCGTGTCCAGCTTCTCGAGGAGGGCCTTGGTCCTGCTCCCCAGCGCCAGGCTGGCCCGCGTCTCCTTGTCCACCAGCACGTTGTAGCCGCTCACGGCCCCCCAGCCCGGCGGCACCGCCGGGGGCTCCCAGCCCACAATGACACTTTTGGCGAGTTGCTTGATGAGGGTGATTTTCCGAGGGTAAGGCACAATGTCTTCTCCGACGTCGTCGATGTTCAGGTCCAGCGTCCCCGCGCCGTTGTCCGTGACGCCCGAGTCCACGTGAGTGGGCGAGTGCAGGTCCAGAATGTTCTCCCCTGCCAAGCCGACGCCGGCGTGGTTGATGAAGTTCTGGTCCTGCTCGCTCCCCAGCGTGCTTGCCAGCCGCGACTCGTTGTCCTGGACAAAGTCCACGAAGTTGGAGGGCACCAAGCCCCTCTGCCCATCCAGGAGCTCCCCTGTGGGGCACAAGGACAGAGCCGTCACCGTCAGGGGGCCCTGGCCCCTGCAGCACGCTCCCCCCGACCCACTCCCTGGTGCTTAGGAGCATGAGGCAGAGCAACAGGGCCATCCTGGGACCCCGCAGCTCAGACGTCACCTGCGTGCCCGCCCACGATCTAAGACAACCTCTCCACCACCTCCCCGCATCACTCCACGACGCCCATGCCATCTGACGCCGCCAGGCGTGTTCATCCGTGTGCGTGCGGTGGCTGCCCCTTCCCAGGCAGGGCACTCCCTGAGGGCAGGGACCCCACGGCTACGGGATGCCCAGCCCCGCTCTGGTCCAGCGCGACTGGTGACCGTGCAAAACGCTCCAGGCGTCTGCCCGCGGATGTCTCCAGAGGCGACCCCATGGCACTCAAGTGAACCCCAGCATGACGGCCAGGGCTTCCGTCAGCTCCACGGGGCCACGAAAGAGAAACCCACGAGTTTAACAAGAACTATTCCCTCCGCTCAGGGGCAACAGGGGAAGCCAGGACCCTCCCTCTTGTGCAGGGCGGGTGGGCAGTTTGGGGAACTGGCGCGTCAAGCCCTTCAGCACGTTGGCTTACGGAGCGGCAGGTGCGTCTCAGGCTCATCCTCAGGCTAAGAGGCGACAATGGGCGAGGCCTCTCATTTGCCTGGGGGCTCACGTTTCCACAGTTCACATTCCGAGGGGGACCCCGAGAGAGTGGTGAGGACGGACATGGGCCCCCGCCCCCAAGTGGGCAGCAGAGCCCCCCAGAGCCACTCTAGTGTGAGCCCCCGCAGCGGGGCTCAGCCCTGCCGGAAGGGACCCAAATGGGAGACCGGGGTGCGGGGCTGTCAGGTGAGAGCCGGAGAGACCCCCCCTTGGAAGCAGGGGTCTGCAGCCCCACGGGCCCGCAGAGCTCCTCGGAGACTGATGTCGCAAACACTCACTGCCTGTCAGAGGCCAGCCGGAGCCGAGCACTGGAGACCCCACTCAGCTTTCCCGCCAGTCACCTAGGAGGGGGGACCTGGGACGCTGGAGAGCGGGTGGTCGGGCAGAGGGCCGGGAACCCGGCACGTCAACTGGGGCCCAGGATACGTTGGTCTGGGGGTGGACGGGCCCCGCCCGCGGCAGCCACAGCCACCCCCCAGCAGAGACCTTCATAGAAGCCGTCCTCGTCCATGTCTCCGTAGACGTAGAGGTACTTCCCCGCCGTGAGCGGCAGCTCCGCTTCCGGGTTTTCATTTGGACCGTCGAAGGGGTTGTAGCTAGAGGAGGAACAGGCGGCTTCCGTCAGAGGCCCTGATGGCAGACGCCAGCCGGCCAGCACACCGCCTCTCTCCTTGTACTAAGGACTCTCAAACCCTCACAACAGTTCGGGCTGTAACCGCAGCAAGACGCAGCCGGGGAGCCAGGCGACCAGCGAGGACGCCAGGGCCACTGCTGGGCGGCTCAGGACAGCCGTCACCCGCGGCGACTGCCGTGCGCTGCCTGTCTCGGGCTGAACCGCGCCCTCCCCGAGAGAAACATTCACGCTCTAAGCCTGGTCAAGCTGCGAATGTGACCTTTCTCAGAATGAGGGTCCCCGGGAGGGAACGTAACGGAGCTAGGATAAAGTCAGACTGGAGCAGGGGCTCCTATCCAAGGACTGTCCTCACGAGAAGACAGGAGAGCGGCACAGACACACGGGGCGGCGGCCACGCCAGCGGGGGCAGGGAAGGCGTGAGGCCGCGAGAGCCCAGGGGCGTCGGGGCTCCCAGGACCTGGCAAGGGCGAGGCAGGGCCTTTGCCGGGGGCTCCGGAGGGGGCGGCCCTGCCCACGCCTTGACCCCTGACTTCCGGCCTCCATCGCTGCGGAGGACGAATCTCGCTGTTCTGAGCCACCCAGCAGGTGGCCAGGTGACCGGCTGCCGCTGCAGCGTGGGACACAGACAGACGGCCATGGTCTGCCCACCAGGGTCCTCATCCTCCGGGCCGGCTGCAGCACCAGCTTCTCGCAGGAGCCCGGGGAAGGGGCCGTCTCCGCTCACGGGGGATTCCCACACCTCCTCTGCTCCGAGTATCCCCGCCCACGGGCGCAGGGGCCCGGCGTCCTCACCTGTAGCGGGCGACACACAGGTGCACCTTCCCCGAGTATCTCTGCTTTGAGGTATTGGAGTTCCGCTCATTCTCCATCTGCGGAGACACAAACAGCGACCGGTCATCGGTGCGGGGTGGGGGGGGTCAAGTCCCACGCCCGCCATGCACGGGACAGCCTCGCACAGCCTCCCCGGGGTTTGAGGGCATGGCCTCAGCCTGCAGAGCCCCCCGAGATACCTGCACACACCCCATCCCCCCACCGTGTGGGCCCCTTACAGGGAAGGGCTCTGTAGGGAACCCAGAGCCTGAGCACCAAGTAAGACTCGAGGTGCCGGCTCCGCCGGCCCAACTCAAGGCAGGAGACAGGGACGCGCCAGGCCCCGGGGAGCACTGCCACTCGGGCCCTCTGCCCGCCAGGGGCCAGGCCCAGGGACGAGACCACCCACGAGTCCGGCGGTGCCCAGGCTCAGGAAGGCTGCAGGGGACACAGCACGAGGGCTTGTCCCAGACCACCTCCCTCCCCACCGCCTCGGGGCCTGCGGGTGGGACTCCACGCACAGTGACTCCACAGCGTCCCAGGCAGGAGTGAGCTGGGTGACTGCGTGCACGCCCCTGCCCTCGCGCCCCGCGCTGTCCCTCCCCCGTCACGTCCCGGGCAGGAGTGAGCTGGGAGACCACGTGCACGCCCCTGCCCTCACACCCAGCGCTGTTCCTCACGTCGCGTCCCGGGCAAGAGTGAGCTGGGTGACTGCGTGCACGCCCCTGCCCTCACGCCCTGTGCTGTCCCTCCCGTCCTGTCCCCGGGCAGGAGTGAGCTGGGTGACCACGTGCACACCCCTGCCCTCGCGCCCCCTGCTGTCCCTCCCGTCACATCCGGGCAGGAGTGAGCTGGGTGACTGCGTGCACGCCCCTGCCCTCGCACCCCGCGCTGTCCCTCACGTCGCACACGCTCCGTGCGGAAGCTGGAGACGTCTTTGTAAACAGAAATTAAACCACGTCGCTCCTGCCTTCGACATTCTGGCAGCTTCCCCCGGCCAAGAATCTGAGCACATCCTCCGGCCCACGGCCGCGGCTGGACCCCCGCCCACCCACCTCCAGCTCCTGTCCAGACACATGGGCGTCTTCCAGGCCCTTCCATCAACAGAGCAGCAGCTACGGCCCAGCGGCCCTCGAGGGACCCTCTCGCACCCGAACGGGCTGCTCCTACTCCTCCCCAGGCCACGTGGCCTTGTTGCGCTAGCTCCACACGCGGTGTGATCTGGTTTCTGCGCGCCCACTCCCTGGTCTGCCCCAGCCCTGCTGGAACCGCCTCCAAGAGAACAGGGCCTCACCTGCACAGCCACATGGGGCACCCACGTCCCGGCATTAAGGACTGGCTCCGGACAGATGGGAGCGAAGGGAAGAACCCGGGAGGGGGAGGAGAAAGGGAAAGGGGAGAGATGGGGGGAAGGGAAAGGGGAGAGATGGGGGAGGGAGAGGAGAGGGAAGAGGGAGGGGGAAGAGGAGAGAAGGATGGAGGGTGAAGGAGGAAGGAGGGGGGAGGAAGGGAGCAGGTCCACCACCATCCACACCAGACGCGCACGGGGCAGCCCCCACGCCAGGACAGGACTCACGTCGGACTCAAATCTGCATCTTGGGCTGCCGGATCTGGACAGAAAGGTGGGCTTGGCGGACAGAGGCTCCGGCTTGTCCCCGGGGAGCGGGAGGGTCCGGATATACTCGCCAATCGCAGAGCCGCTTCCGACAGCGCTGCCCTGACCTGGCCGCAGACATTGAGACGGTTGGAGGGGAGATGAGTGCGCCGGCCGCCCAGCCCCGGGCCCTCTGCCCTCTCTGGGCCCGGCCTGCCCCTCCCTCCCCGCGCTCACTGCGCCGCGTGCCGGGCGGGTCTACGACAGACAGCTCGAGGGCCCCGGCCCTTCCAAACGCCCACGTCCCTCTCGGCCTGCTCCCTGTCTACAGGCGTCGCCCGCACAAGGCCACCTCGTCCCTCGTCTTCCGTCCCCGCCCCCAACAGGAGGCTCCACACGCCGGACTGTGGGGACACCGTGCCCCCCCACCCTGCCTGTCCCGGTCACGGATCGCCTAGCACCCGTGCGAGTGAGCGCCGGGAGGGAGGGTGCGCAGGGGCGGGGGGGGGGGAAGGACACCGCTCCCCAGGATTCGGGCAGTGTCACCCCGTTTTGATGCTAAAAAGCGCCCGGCAGCACGCGGTGTGCGTCCCGCCAAGCACTGGAGGAACCGGAGTTCCCTTTCGTGGCACCCACGGTGAGGCTCGGGCACTCCTCTCCTCTAAAGAGATCAGCCTTCGAAGCAGGTGGGGCCCGGGCGCGAGACCCGTTTGACCTCTACCTCCCTCGAGGACGCGGCACCTCCGGTGGCGTCTAATCAAATGACGCCTGTGACGGTTTCGCCTGTGACCGGGAGGAAGGTCCGCCCCGCACACAAAGCCAAGCCCTGCTGTCCTCTCTGCTCCCTGCACAGACCTGAGGGCGAGGCCAACTCTCGCCACCGCCTCTGTCGGGTCCAGTCCGTCCCAGCGTCACCCAGGGGTGCGGGGACGAGAAGGGGAGCAACGAAAGCAAAGAAACCAGCTTTGCAGAGCGCTGGGGGGACCCGGCCAATAATTCCACGCACAGCAGCCGCCAGTGTAGCCTCTATGGCCAGAGTCCTGGGTTCAAATCCCGACTCAACCCTTTATCGACTGTGTGACCCCACACGCATGCCTTGGTTTTGCTCGTCTGTGAAACGGGCCTAAGAACCCTGTCTCCCGGACTGCACTTGTTGATGCCCGGGAGTGCCGAGAACAGGGTGTCCGGGCGCCCCGTGTGACCTGACGCCAAGGACAGCCGTGACAGGCCCCGTACCCCTGCCTGGTGTGGGCACGGCCATCCCCTCCCCGCAGCTGGGGCAGGGAGGCCGGCGCTTACCTTTGCCGATGGAGGCGGCTAGTCCGTTCATGAACTGAGGGAAAGGCTTGCCGGGGGCCGAGGGGACGCCCGGCGGGGCCACCGCGCTGCCGCCCAGCAGGTCGATCTTGCCCGCGTGCTGCCGGAACTGCTCCAGGTCCCGGGACAGCAGGCTGAACTGCTCACTCTGGGCCCGGCATTTCTCTTCCAGCTCCCGGACCTTGCTCTGCGCGACAGACGCGGGGCGGCGTGAGCGTGGCATGAGCACGGGGGGATGTGTGCGCACATTTGTGTTGCGTGTGTGTGCCTGTGAGAGTGCTGTGTGTGCATGAGTGTGCATGTGCACGTGTGAGTGCATGTGCATGTGTGAGAGTGCTGCATGTGCATGAGCATGCAAGTACACGTGCAAGTGCTGTGTGCACGTGAGAGTGCTGTGCGCATGAGCATTCATGTAAATGCTGTGTGTGCATGAGCATGCATGTGCATGAGAGTGCTGTGTGCATGAGCATACATGTGCACGTGTGAGTGCTGTGTGCGTGAGCATGCATGTACACTGAGAGTGCTGTGTGCATGTGTGAGTGTGCTACATGTGCATGAGCGTGCGTGCACATGTGAGCACGTGTGCAAGAGCATGCTGCGTGAGCATGTGCATGTATGTTATGTGTGCAGCGTGAGGCTGCCTCCCACCCCCACAGGAGACCAGCATCTGACAAGCCCAGCTTCCCACGCAGCCTGGCTGTTGGCCAGCGCGAGAAGCCACAGGTGCCAAGACACGCTGCAAACACGCAGCTCCCGGCCAAGCGCGGCTGTGCTGGGCTGTGCGCACCCGGGCACTTGGTGGTTGGCACGCCTGCCAGCGCCGCTTGAAATCTGGAGTGTGAGGCAGCAACACGGCCCAGCCCCGGGGGACAGCTCAGTCACTAACCCGCTGATGGGTTTTTGCTCCTCCCGGGCACCTGCCCCGGCCCTGCGGAACCCGCAACACCACCGTGCGAGCAGGAAGCGGGATTTCTACCCGCTGGACTGGTCAGCAACATCGCTGCGCTTGCCAACAGCACAGAGACGACATCCCAGGAGCCCGAGGGAAGGGCAGGTGCCTCCCTCGGGGACACGGGCAGGACAGGGCAGCCCAGCGAAGGTCCCTCCTCGGGGCAGGATGGCCGGGGTAAATCGAGGCTCAGCTCGGGACAGCTCTGGCCCGTGTGGGCTTCCTCTGGGGCCGGGTGTGTAACGGAGCCTCCCTCTCCCTGCCCTGGGCACTGAGGTCCGTGGGGCCACCTCCTGGGATGGAGCTAAATGCCCTGGGCACTGGGGTCCGTGGGGCCACCTCCTGGGACAAGGCTCCCTGCCCTGGGCACTGGGGTCCATGGGGCCACCTCCTGGGACAGGGCTCCCTGACCTGGGCACTGGGGTCCGTGGGGCCACCTCCTGGGACAGGGCACCCTGCCCTGGGCACCTAGGTGCACCTGGGGGGGCCCATTCTCCTCACCTGCGTCCCCCCCTTTGCAGACCACCTGGAGGTCACAGCAGCCCCTGGACTCCCTGCCCCTCGTCTGCCCCCACGACCGCACCGCAAGCCCTACGCTGCACCTCCTGCTCCCGGCTCGTGCCGACGCTCAGCACAGACCCGGCTCACAGCCAGTGTTCCTAAGTGTTTGCTGAGCCCATGCGAAGAGGGGAGCCCTGAGGTACAGACAGGTTCCTGGTGGCAGCTGCTCACCCGGGGCTCAGGGCTCCCTAGGACAGCCGGGCAACCCCAAGTGGTGCCACCGACCCCCTGCACTGGGGAAATGTGGGCTCCGGGGCAACAGGACCCCGTCCCCGTCTGCCTCGTCCTGCTGCGTCTGGCCCCGGACACGCCGCGCCCCAAGTCAGCGCTCAGTGAGGGAGGTGCCCTGCCCCCACTCCTCCTCCACATCCTCTTCCTCCTCCCTCCTCTTCCTCCATCCCTTCCACAGGCTTCTCAGCTCCCCGGTCCAGAATGAAGCGCTATTTATGTCTGAGATTGTGGATTTCTAAAAATAAGCCTAGCAAACACCAAGCCTATAATTAATTTCTTTGATTCATTAACAAAACAATCAGCAGCATTCTTCTCGAAAGCTGAATGGGCTCGGCCAGGTTGGCTGCTTCCCCCGAGGAAGGCGCAGGACGGCATGGCGGGGGCCCGGGCGCAGGACGGCATGGCGGGGGCCCGGGCGCAGGACGGCATGTGGGCAGTGCCTGGGGGACCCTCCACGGCCCCAGGAGCGGGATCCGCACTCGGGATGGCGACCTCGGCTTCCCCTCGGCCGTGGGCTCTGGCTCTGCCCACTCAGCCCCGAAACAGAGCCAGGGCCCTGCCGTGACAGTGAAGCCGCTCCTGTCCTGAGGCCTGGGGACGCCCCCCAGCCATCCCCTCGTCCCCAAGAGTGCCTTCCTGCAGGTCCCTGTTCAGGGAGCCCAGAGAAAGCCCGGCCGTCCCTATTGGCGAGCGAGGGTCAGTGCTGCGGGCCGGGCATACTACGCGGTGTGGGCAGACCGTGGCGTGGCCAGGGCTGCAGGCGTTAGCAGACGCGGAGCCGGGGCGGCTGTGTCCCCCGCCCGGTGCACCCCCGAGTGGCCAGAGCTCCCGGCTCCTCCCGCGCGGCAGGCGTCCTCCTTCCGCTGTGAAATCTCATGTCGCGCAGCTCGGTCGGGTGGCAAGGGCCTCAGCGGCCAAGACGGGCAGGCCACGGCGGGCTCCGGACGCCGTCCCTTCCCCGGTGTTGCCCACGGGGGGCACTTGGCTCCGTGAGGGGAAGACCACAGCACTGCGGGGAGACGAAGCCAGCCCCTCCCAGCGTGTCCCGAAGACCCAGCCACCAGGCAGCGGGTGGCTCCTGCGAAGCTCACACGCTGGAGGAGCCCGACCCGTCTCCCAGAGTCTCCAGCGGAAGCCACCGGCAAGTGCCACTCTTCCTGCAGAGACTTCCCTCCAGGCACCGAGCGGAAGACCACATCCCCAGGCCCTCGGGGCCCTGGCTCTGGCGCTTAGGAGCTGTGTGTCCTTGGGCAAGTGGCTCAGTGTCTCTGTGCCTTGACAGCCTCAACGAGGAGGAGGAAGAGAACCTCATCGTGGTTCAAGGGTTCAATCCGACGGCACTTGTCAAATGCCGGGCGCAGGGTGGCTCGTGTGCCCGCTGCTACCGCCGCGTCCGGGGAAAGGGCAGGCAGGTCCCCCGAGTCCCCACTCGACCTTCGGTGCAGTGTGGGGCGGGCGGGCCCCCGTGCCCGCAGGGAGGGCAGAGTTCAGAGGTGACAGGTGCCGTGTCCTGGGCCCGCAGTGGGGGGTAGCATCCGGAATCTTCCCTGCGCTCAGCCTCTGGGGTTTATTAAGAGAGCTGGTCTTTCCAGGGGCGTTCTTGAAAACCTCCCTTCCATTTTCAGTTAGCTCCTGACACGTACCTTTGCTAAACCCCAAACTAGGCCAGATGGCTCCCTGGGTCCCAGGACTTTTCTCCATGGGACATGCCAGGGATAAGGACACCTGCCCATCCCAAAACATCCTGGCCCCTCGGTCATTAGAAAACAAGGCGTATCCTAGCACTCTGGGAGGCTGAGGCGGGCAGATTGCTCAAGGTCAGGAGTTCGAAACCAGCCTGAGCAAGAGCGAGACCCTGTCTCTACAATAAATAGAAAGAAATTAATTGGCCAACTAATATATATAGAAAAAATTAGCCGGGCACGGTGGCGCATGCCTGTAGTCCCAGCTACTCGGGAGGCTGAGGCAGGAGGATCGCTTGAGCCCAGGAGTCTGAGGTTGCTGTGAGCGAGGCTGACGCCACGGCACTCACTCTAGCCTGGGCAACAAAGCGAGACTCTGTCTCAAAAAAAAAAGAAAGAAAGGAGGGTGTAGACACATCTGTAGAAATGGACGTGTACACATGAGTATGTTGGGGGTTTGTATTTAACACGTGTTCTCAGGTAAACCGTATCTAGTAACTAACTATATCATATCTAACTGGGCAAGAAAGTGGGTTGTGCTACCTACTAGAATATTCTGTCTGAGGAAAGCCACCAGGGCTCCACACAGGATGTGCCAAGTTCTCCAAGGACAACGACACTTAGAAGTGGACGCTATGCCCCGCACGGCACGTTGCTCTGGCGGGTGAGCGGGCAGGACTTGGCACCACCGTCTCGGCCCCACCCCCGGGTAAGGTACGAAACGGTCATTAAGGTGCCGAGCCTCAGACCGGCCGAGCCTCCCAGGGAGCCCCCCCCTTAACATATTTTCTCCTCCCCAGTCACCGGCCTCACGGGCTGCAGCTCAACAACACGCGTCAGAATCACACACCCGCGGGGTGGTCCAGACACGGACGCCTGGGTCCCTCCCCGAGATTCCGATTCAGCAGGTCTGAGAGGTTTGGAAGCTCAGAGCTTTGGGAAACGCACAAAGCCCTGTTCTGAGGGTCAGCTCAGCCTCTCCCGGCCCCAGAGGAACTAACTGGAAGGGCTGCCGTCCGCCGAGGGAAGGCGCAAGGCGGCCCGTCGGAAGGAGCTTGCTGTCTGCCCGCGGCGGGCGCGGGGCAGAAAGGGGCGCAGCTCGGGCGTAACGCTCAGGCGTGAGGCTGGACTCCCGGTGACCAGATCGCCAAATTCTGGGCTGTCGGCTGGGTTCTCTCACGCACGAGGCCGGCCCAAGCGCAGAATCTGTCCTGACCACTGCTCTCCCGCCGTGGTCATCTGAACTCACAGCCTGGCCCCAGCCTGAGAGTTGCCGCCCCGGCAGGGAACAGGGAGCCCCGAGCCCGGGCCTGCTCAACACGGCGGAGCCTGATCAAGGTGAGTCCCCCCGTGGAGCTCCTGAAAGCAGCTCCTCAGCCCCCAGGGTTAAGGAACCCCCACCCCCCACCGCATTAGAGAGATCCGGTCCAGGCCGGTGCCCCGGGGCGCCCCGTCCAGGAAGCGGCGGATTGAGCAGGCCCAGGGACTCGCGGCCGCAGCCATGCACGGGGGAGGCACCACACACGCCACGCGGGGGCGGGGACACGTCACGTCTAGAATACCTGCATGCTGTCCAAGGTGTTCTGGACGAAGCGCCAAGCAAGACACAAGCACGGAGAGACGTCATCAGTGACAGACGCGGCCCTTCCCGTTTCTCTCAAAGCAAAGCAGGCTGCGCCCCGGGGCCCTCCCC